GGTAGACGTCGTCGCCTCTGCCCTCGTAGTACTAGTAGTAGCAGTAGTGGTTGTCGTCGTCCTCTTCCTTGCGGTAGTAGGTGTAGTAATTGTAGTAGTAGTTGTAGTAGTAGTAGTAGTAGTAGTAGCAGTCGTAGTAGTAGTAGTAGTAGTAGTAGCAGTAGCAGTAGCAGTAGCAGTAGCAGTAGCAGTAGAAGTAGTACAAGCAGTAGCAGTAGTAGTAAGCGTCGAAGTCGTAGTAGTAGTAGTAGTAATAGTAGTAGTAGTAGTAGTGGTAGTACTAGAAATAGTCGCCGTATTAGTAGTAGTAGTAGTAGTAGTAGCAGTAGTAGTAGTAGTAGTAGTAGTAGTCGTAATCGTAGAGTGGGTGGTCGTAGTCGTAGGAGTAATTTTAATAATGGTAGAAGTAGTAGTCGTGGTGGCAGAGTAGTAGGCGTACTAGTAGTAGTAGTAGTAGTAGTAGTAGTAGTAGTAGTAGTCGTAGAAGTAGTAGTAGTAGTAGTAGTAGTAGTAGTAGTAGCAGTAGTAGTAGTAGTAGTAGTAGTAATAGTAGTTGCTGTTGTAGTCGCAGTCGTAGTCGCAGTACACGTAGACATCGTAGTCGTAGTTGAAGTCGTAGTGGTGGTGGTGGTAGTCGTTGGAAGATTGGCCCCAGTAGTAGCACCAGATGGTGTATCAAGGAACCTTAGCCACGCAGCAGGAGCAGTAGGAGCAGTAAGGGACGGTGTCGTCTTCGTTGCCGGCGTCCTCGTCGCATTCGTCTTCATCGGCGCCGTCGGCGCCCAGCATGTAGTTTCCCGCTGCTTATCGCCGTGCTGAATATTGTTGGGTGATTGTTTCTCCCACACCTCCTTGGCGACCCTGCACAGCAAGAGTCTAGAGTTGCTCCAATGAGTGAAGGATAACTTGATAGATCTCCAATCGAGGCGGCGCGTCGTCTTCGTCGTCCTCGTCGTCGGCGTCCTCGTCGCAGTCGTCTTCGTCGGCGTCGCCGGCGGCGACAATGCTGACAGCAGAGGCCTGAGTGGTGGCCGCAGCGGGGAATCATTTTTTGTCCCAGCATTGTTGGGGTCCCAATCCGTCAATAAACCCGCGCAGCAAATTCCATTATTGGGGGAGTTATTGAAACCCCTTCCGGTCAAGGAATCGCCATCAAATCGCTGCGATTGAAAGTGGGGCGGAAAGGATGTGGACGAAGAGTGGCAGTGGCTTGCCCATTCTGAGCAGGATTCGCTGTTGGTGCCGCCCCCCGGGCATTGTCCATCTGGGACCATTGGCCTTCCCAGCAGCGGACGCTGTGGGTTTTCGACGGCACTTGCTGTTGGGCATCCTGCCCGAGTTGTCTGTCTCGGGCGCGCCTGGAATCGATGTCCTAGCCGAGGGATGCTAGATGTATTCTCTATGAAGGAGCAACTCCCGTCAGACGTCGAGTTTGGCCACGTCGACGACAGTCTATGCTGGCGGGCTTGCGCTGGCTCGCGCTGTGCAGGCTCGGGTTTTGGACCTAAGTGGCCCATCTAGTGCGCCGCTAGTGTGCCGGTCAACGCTGCGCTGCCGAGCCGCATCCCGCCATCATCGGCACGAAGCGAAGCGAGATTTTGAGAAACTCGCGGAGCGGCCAACGGCAGTGCTGCTGCGGGTGCTGCGATCGACTTCGGCCGGCAACAGTCACAAAAGATTCCGAGTCGGCCACAGTCAGCCTCGGCTCGAGGCACCCGGGATAGATCCCCAACGATAGGGGCCCGCCCGTGGCCTGCCTGGGCGAGTCGGCCACAGAGGCGAAGGTGGATATCGGTGCTGGCCTTCGTCGAGCGGTGATCAAAGCGGAGGTTATCACAATGTTGGCAGCGGTTTGCGACGGGCACAGCCGAATCCGGGAGCGCAGATGAGTATCAATGACACGCCGCCAGTGGGAGTCCGTCAGTTTGTTACTTCTTGGTTTCTTTCCGCAGGCATGGCACTCCTTGAACATTGACACAACGGTGGGTTTCCCATGTCGGCGCTTGTCATTCAGAAGACCACAAGGATAGTTCGCCATTCACGATGGAGGCCCCCATGGGCCGAATCGGAATTGGGGCCTTCGGTGGAGCTTTCATTTGGCCACGAAACTTCTGAGGAGTGTGTCGAAATGAGCCCGAGACGGCATGCGCATGCAGTCATCAGGCCCTTCGGTGGAGTTCCCGATGGAGCCACAGAGCATGTGAGAGGGAGCCCCGCGTGGTGCCATGAAAAGTGGGAGGGGTGAGCGCCAACGGGCGCCCGACACGGCATGCGAACGCAGCCGCTGGGGCTTCCGGTGGAGCTCCCTTATGGGGCACCGAGTCAATAGGCCCGAGAGGGCATGAGAACGCAGCCATTGGTTCCTTCGGGGGAGCTCCCTGTGGGGCCACGAAGTGTGTGAGGGCTGTTCCGGCATGGATCCCAGACAACATGCGAACGCAGCCGATGGGATTTTCGGTGGAGTTTCTTGATGGGTCCACGAAGCATGTGATGGGGAGCCCCCCATGGGGCCACGAATCGTGTGAGGGATATGCCGAAGTGCACCCGAGACGACATGCGAACGCAGCCACTTGTTCCTTAGGTGGAGCTCCCTATGGGGCCACGAAGCGTGTGAGGCTATGCCGACATGGACCCGAGACGGCATGCAAACGCAGCCATTGGTGCCTTCGCTGCAGTTCCCTTCGGGGCCACGAGTCATGTGAGTGGGAGCCTCCTACTAGGAGGTTCTCCCTCACATGATTCGTCTGAGGGGTGAATCGACATGCGCCCGAGACGGCATGCGAACGCATCCCTGGGACCTTCGGTGGAGCTCCTTGTGGGGCTACCATGGAAAGTGTAAGGGGTGTACGCCGACGGACCCGAGGCGGCAAGCGAACGCAGCCGTTGGGGCCTTCGGTGGAGCTCCCTATGGAGCCACGAAGCTTGTGAGGAGGAGCCCCGTATGGGGCCATGAAAAGTGGGAGGGGTGTACGCCGACAAGCGCCCGACACGGCATGCGAACGCAGCGGGCGTGGCTTTCGTTGGAGTTCCTTTATGGGACACCGAATCGTGTGAGGGGTGTGCCCTAAATCGGCCCGAGATGGCATGCGAACGCAGCCACGTGTTCCTTCGGTGGAGCTCCCTATTGGGCCACGAAGTGTGTGAGGGTCTTGCCAGCATGGACCCGAGACAACATGCGAACGCAGCCATTGGGGCCTTCGGTGGAGCTTCCTTATGGGTCCACGAAGCATGTGATGGGGAGCCCCCCCATGGGGCCACGAATCGTGTGAGGCTTGAACCGAAATGCGCCCGAGACGGCATGCAAATGCAGCCCTGGGTCCTTCGGTGGAGCTCCCTATGGGGCCACGAAACGTGTGAGGGGGATCCCCCGATGGGATCATTTAAAGTGTAAGGGGTGTACGCCGACAGGGACCCGAGGCGACATGCGAACACAGCCGCTGGGGCCTTCGGTGGAACTCCTTTATGTGGCACCGAGTCGTGTGAGGGTGTGCCCAGATGGATCCAAGAGGGCATGCGAAGGCAGCCCGTTGGGGCTTTCGGTAGAGGTAGCTCCCTATGGGACCACGAAGCGTGTGAGGGATGTGCTGACATGGGACCTAGGCGGCAGTCGAACGCAGCCGATGGGACTTTCGGTGGAGATCCCTATGTGGCCACGAAACGTGTACGTAAGAGGTGTGCCCACAGTGGCCCGAGACAACAGGCGAACGCAGCCATTGGGCCTTCGCTGCAGTTCTCCATGGAGCCACCAAACGCGTGATTGTTGTAGCGAAACAGTGATCTGGATCTTGACGATAGTGACGATGAGGAAGGTGGTGACCATGATGAGGAGACTGATAACGACGCGGAGGATGTTGCCGATCAACACAAGTGAGGGGGATAGTGGGGCGAGGGGGGGAGGAATGACGTGGGGCGCTGCTGATTCAACATGTGGATCCACCACCACAAGATGGTTGGGCATCGCTGGGCCACACTCTCGGCGAGGCACAGCTGCTGAAGAGCATGACGAGGTTAGCAGAGCATCTGGGGATTGTCGAGAGCACCCGAAGACCTCGATCCTCGAGATTTGCTCTCCTCCACCCTCCGCATGGGCGTTCACGGTCCCCTCCCCCCGACTCAGCCACATGCTATATTTCTTCGTTCCCTGCTGGATTCATGGTCTCGGGGGCGGGGTGAGCTCATGGGCCAAAAAATAAATCCGTATCCATGTCCTCGCGGGCCAGGCCCCTGGGCCGCCACCGCGCGGATACACGGCGTTTTTTCGTGGATACCCCACGCGGAATGTATCCGTGCGACCGCGTATCCGCCGGATCGCGCCCCGGAGTCCAGACCGTGAGGGCGCAGATGTGGATATTTTCGCCGCTCGTGCAGAGCCCACATGTCAGGCATCCTAGACCCAAGCGCTGTCGCGGATACCCCATCCGATCATTGGTTGGATGATTTTCTCAAGCCCTTCGCCGCTTGAAACGGCGCGGGCTCAGAGCAGGAACGCAGCAACGCCTCAGGAATAAGCGCGGCATTGACGGTGCAGCTCCGCACACGTGTCAGATGTTCTAGCAAGCAAGAGCTCCGCAAAGTTGACGCACGAACAGCACACACCCATACCCATAGGGGGGACGGACGGGGCTATGGGTGTGTGTTGTCGGATGGGGGTCCCCCATGGGTCCAACAACTGCACCCATAACCATAGCCAGTCCTCCCCCCTCCGACCTCCCTATGGGTATGGGTGTGTGTTGTTCGCCCGTCAAGAGCCCCAGGGCAGCGAGACACTGACCTTACAGCTCCGCAGCAGCCCCCCCGCCGCAGGCAGCTCCTGGGCCGGGCGGCGCTCCGGCTGGTCAGCGCAGCGCGCCCTGTGCGCAAGAATTTCTTGGAGGACGGCGGAGCCGCTGGGTGCAGGCCGCCGAGGGAGAGCGCCGAAGGGCCTGGCGACTCTTCTGCCAATCGCACCAGATAACAACCCCAATCAGTGGGTTGTGTGATCGATAAGGAGATCGACTGGGAACCCGGGAGCCCGGAACCCACCGAAATCGGCCCGGAGCCAATAACCGGGAACCCGGGAACCCTGAACCGGGAACCGGGGAACCCAGCCAGCCACCGAAGTCGGCGGGACATTTTCAATTTCCGCTAGGACCCATTCAGTACAAGCACTGATTGGGGAAACTCAAGCTTTGGCGAGCTCGCTTATAGGCCCACCAGAGCATGTTCTAAGAACCTTTGGTGGTTTGCACGGAACGTTCTGAGAACATTTCTGGTTGATATTGATTTGTTTTAACGCATCGGGGCCATGTCCCGAAAACATTGTTGCTTGTCAGGAGCCTTGCATGTCCTCGACATCTCGTGCTTAGAGTGCATCCGCGTGCGATGGCGTCTCGTGATCAATGAGAGCGCGCCGATTTAGTGTTGATTATAGTCGATGTAGCGTCGACTAGCGTCGATTTCGCGTCGGATAGCTCCTGCAGGCCGGGGATGAGGATACGTAAATCGTTCCAGCGCGTTCGGGAACATGCTCAGAACGTGCCGGAACGCTCTGGAACGGCAGCGGAGCTTGATGCATTCTCCAGAACAGTTGGATCTCCGAGGTTCCCCGATGTATCCTGGTTCGATATTGTCCCTGTCCTGTCCTAGTCCAGCCGGACTTCCGTACAATGGCCGAAAGTCTGTCGAAAGGCGTTCTCGTTTCGGCGCGGGCAGCACACCGCCAGATTAATTTGCACGCCGCGGTCAGTTTAAGAGCAAATCGTGAGGATGTCTCAGCCGAAACCGGCTTTTTGGGGTCAGATGGGGGCGCTGGACGACATGGCAAATCAAACGCAAGTTTGACGAAAGGCAATCGCAATGATGCTCCAGCAGATTGGGCCAGGACATTTCTTGTGATTCCTCCTTGATTCTCCCCGTGCCCGCCCTCCCCCCTCATCAGCCCCGCCCCGTCTGCGCGCCCTCGCCCCCTGGTCATGGCGCCCGCGAAGCGAGGAAGTCTCACGCGACAGCGCCGTGGCGTTTGGTTGGTCGGGTTGGTTGTTGGGGTGTTTGACTGCGTGGAGGTCTTGTTGGATGACCGGGTCGTAAGGGAGCGAAAATGGCATAAACATAAAACCAGGAGGTCCGCGCGGATTTTTCGGATCGGCGCTGAACCCCCCTCCCTTGCGCGCGGAGCGCTCCAGGGGCGGCGCCGGAGGCGCCGCCAGGGGGGTCCAGCGCGGATCCGATACATCCGCGCAGACCTCCGAGTTTATGTTTATGCCATGTTTCGTTCCCCTACGTCTGGCTCGTCCTCCTAGTTCGTCCCCCCCGCCAGTCCCTTCAGCCCCAGCCGCTGCCGTCGTAATCGCCCTCCCCCCGCCCCGCGCAGCCGAACCCGTTGCAGCATTGCAGGACGCACGTCTTTCCTCCCCCAGAGCGAAATTCGTGTGAAATATTGTATATTTGACGCATCCGAATCCTGGCCTCCCGCCTCCTTCATTCTCGCATTCCTCACTCACACTTCACAGGCATGGTAAGTTCATGGACACCCAGATTCGTTGACATTCAGACTCATTCGCGTGAATACCCATTGGCATTTAGATTCGCTCACACCCGACGTAGACTTACCCACACCAGATTCGCACACAATCAGAGTCATTCGGGGCCACTCGCACCCAGACACATTCTGGCAGAGACCAATTTTGCCTTGATGCACTCATGCGCGAGCTTAGGCTCACCGTGCAAGCGTAGCAGTTGGGTACCCTGAAGAGCTGCCGCCAGGGAGTGGTCGTTTTGCGGGACACACCCTGCTGTTCTGACAGACGCGCGAAGCCGTAGCACCTCGGCGCCCCGAGGACCACCCGCCGGGGGGTCGAAAACGTGACCGTTCGTGGTGTCATTGTGGGCGCGTTCCAGGTTTTCTTGGCCGTGTTGCAAAACGAACCCTTCCATGTTGAAAGATGCATGGCCACCGCAATGTAGCAAGGGTGCCACCTGGGATCCGTCAGGGAGCCAAACACTTGCCCGTTCGCGCCCGGACGATGGTGTGCGGCCCGTTGTGCGAGACACAATCCGTTCCTGCGAGAGCCGCGTGGTCACCGCGACAAGAAGCAGGCGTGGCATTTGACCACCCCAAAGGAAGAGCCGCCAGGGAGTAGCGCACGTGCCCGTTCGCGCTCGCATCACTGGGATGTCTCAATCGGGTTTCGCCGCTTCGTGGGCAAGACCCCTCACGTTTGGGAGCCGCACGATCGCCGCGACCTGGCAGGCGTGGCACGTAAGCACCCCGAGGACATCCGCTGGGGTGTACGACACGTGCCACTTCGCGCAGATGCCGTGGGGATGTCTTCGGCGGTGTGCTCGCCTTGCGGATCACAGCCGCCTCGTATGAGGGCCGCAGGATCACCGCGATATAGCAGGCGTGACAATTACCAGGGGCGAGCTGCCAAGGGGGGCACTTGCCCGCTCGCGCCCAGAGTCAGCTTGCCTCCCAGCGCTCGCAGTCAGCTCGGCGCAGACTCAGCCTAGATATTCTCACAAGACATGCACACACTGCTCATTCATACTCATATTTACCCATGCTCATATTACCCGCACTGGAGCTGCACGCATTCAGTCCCACAGACATTCAGACGCAGTCATACTGAGACTTGCTAATCATGCTCGGACTCACTCGCATCCCAACCTCACACTCAGACTCACTTGCAGTGGGGCCCAGCAGGCTCAGACCACACATTCACATAGATTCCACACGCAGCAGTGGGGCACGCTAATGGGAAAACCGCCAGGTGATGTTACATCTGCCCGCTCGCAGCCAGATGGTGGCGACGTCTCAAGAGACACGCTGGTTTTAGCACCCATGGGCCTTTTCTTTTAGAATCCTATGACCATTGCGATGTAGCATGCATGCGATCCGGGGACCCCAGGTAGAAGCTGCTAGGGAGCGCCCAGTCGTCACAGGCTAATACGCTCTCACTCAGACACTCACAGAGGGCCGTGCAGAAAAATGATCTGCGCATATGGGGATCTTGTTGGCCGGTTGATCTGGTCGTCTAGGTCTCGCCTTGGCGCGGGGCCGACTTGCAACGGGAGCCGGTTTCCAGGGGGGTCCTGCGGCCCCGTTCCATCCCATGCGGCCCATGCTGGGATATGAACCATTTAGATCATGTGGCCCTTGCGGTTTGCGCACTTCATGGTGCCCCTTTGGCACATGCCGTTCCCGCGCGCCGAGCAAATTGTTGTCCGCGCGCAGGTGTCGCCCTTGTCGCTACGCCCCGTGCAGTCTGCAGAAGCCACGGCGGCACCTGCGCCATATAGTGGGGGTCACAGCGGGCCCCCAGAAGGAAGTTCGCACGCAGATGTTGTTTACAATCAGTGAGTGTCCGGAGAGATGGCTTGACAAGAGTGCGCACAGATCGTTTCACGTGTGTTTGGCTTTCCGTGTGGGGTCGGACGGTCTTGGAAGCCCCCTGCGGGCTTGCGGGGGTCCTTGGGGGTCCGTATGGCATGATGTGCATGAGGGTATGGTGAAATGAGATTTCCTTGAGCCGTCTTGAGAGGCTGACGCCTCCTGTCACACCTTGCCCCGTCCACGGAAACAGGTCGTCTGCGCCAACATTGGCGCGCAAGTTGCCCGCGTAAGGTCGCGCGTCAGCGCCCTCGCTACGTAGCGTGCCGCGCAGGCGGCCCGCGTAAGCCGCGGCGGAAGGTCGCTATGTCATCTTTCGCAAGGCCCATTTTCACCCGTCGCTCAAGTGTCCTTTTCGTCGTCCTGCGGTCAACGCGGGGGGTAAGCATGAGCGATGCTCCAAGGTTACCCTTGCATGCCACTTTCGCTGGCCGCGCCCCGCTTGAAAGGCATCGACATGGCCTTCCAAGTCCCTTGTTTTCGTGCGTCCTTACTATACGCAGTGACTGTACCTCGTCCTCTTCCTACCTCCTCTTCTGGCTCGGCCCGGGAGCACTCGAGTGGGTCTCCATCTCCGTCGCCAAGGAGGACTCCCGGGCTTTGGGGTTTGGCGGTCCGAGCACCACCTTCTGGCATCCGGCAGGCACACACGAGCCCGCCGCGGCCAGAGGTCTAAAGGAGCGGACAGAATCCGTGCACTAGCTCCTCCTCCTCCTCGTCGTCCTCCTCCTCCTCCTCCTGTATTCTCTTCCTCTTCCTCCACCCCCTCCCTCCCCCCGTTTTTGCGCTGCCGAAGCCGAGCCTTCCGACGCTCCCCCTCCTGTCAGGCCCGCGCAGACCGCTGCCGCAGGCGCGCCCTCCCCCCCCGCTCCAAGGCACGATGCTGATCGCGAGCGGGAGGAGGAGGAGGCGGGTCGGACGAGGGCAGTGTGCCGATATTCACAGCGTGAATCACCTACCCCGCTTTCGCTTCCAGGCAAAACCAAGTCATGCCACGCGCCTCCTCGTCAAGCGGCCTGACCAGTACAGGCCGTAGTTTGGCATCGCTTGGTATCTCTTGGAAGCGAGGGTGGTCAAAAGCGAGGTAGGTTTGTTTGCCCCCTAGATATCGCCACCCGTCCCGCGGTTTCGCTTTGCTGGGCCTCCTGGGAGGCTCTCGTCCTCAGTCGCCTCAACTGGTCAGAGCACAGCCCGGGAGGTCCGGGGAGTAGGGTGTCGGTATTTGTTCGTTTCCCGGGTCGGGTGGGGAGGAGGAGTAAGGGAGGAGGAGGAGGAGGAGATTGGAGGAGGGGGGAGGAGGAGGCCGGAGGATGAAGAAAAGGAAGACCGTGTCTACCCAGGCGGGTCCTGGCGTCTGAGGACCCCCTGCACATTCTTGAACGGTGTTGAGAACGCTGACCCACGAAAGGCCCCAGGCTTTGCGAACATGACAGAAAGAGCAGAGTCCAGGGCCTATGCCGTTCCATTCGTTCCTGTCTGATATCGACCTTGTCCCTTTCAATTGGTTACGATATTGGCGATCCGATGCGGCCCTATGTTTGCACGGCGATGTGGTGCATCTTGGCGCGGCCTATTTGATTCGATTGTTTCTCCGTGCCGATGCAGGCCGGTCCGACGCACATTCCGAGTCGATTCGATTTATCAAGGCGATGCAGATTGATCATGCCAAGGGCGATGAGTTTTGCGCGTCGCTCGCCGGCGCGTTCTTGAGGGGGCAGGCCAGGTGAGCTCCCCCCTTCGAGACCGTTCTCATGAATGTCCGGACGAAGAGCCGAGCAAGATACACCTTTCTGGCCATGGGTCGTTCTTGCACCAGGAAGGTTGCAAGGTTTATATCATCACGTGCCGCCGCTACAACGTTTCCAGCCGCCCTTGGACGGGCGGCCCCGATCGCGGACAAGTTTATGTAGCACAATTTTTCGTCCGTGGATCATCGCCACCCCCGATCCGCCCCCTGTGGGACCATCGCATTCTCCTCGACCTGGCAATTGGGCCCCCTATCATCCCACTCCTCTTTTTATTCTTTGATGTGTGTCCAAGCGTGTCGAAATACCACGCGTGTTTTGTGGACGGGCGTACACGTGTACAGCAAGTCGACGTCGTCTTTTCTGCCGTCGGATTCTGCAGGAGGAAGTCTGTCACTGACGACTTCAAAAGTAATGCTATTCTTGTGGGGGAGGGGGTACGCGGAGGAGGAGGAGGAGGAGGTGTCGGTATCGCTCCGCTGAGCCCAAAGGTCGGATGGACTGGGGAGAAGTTTGGGGTTCCCCCCTCAAACCAAGCACTCGGCACTCCACGACTGGAGGGCGCCAGCGACGGTGCCCTTCGACAGACGTCGGCGCACGGCCGCGCACTCTCCGAGGCTGCTGCGCAGCGCAAAAGCATCTCCAGACTCTCACCAAACCGGGATGGCCTGAGAAATAAACTGTCACGCATCTAGCAGCCAACCCCTGCCCTACGAGCACACGGTAGCTTGCACCTCGGACCCAAAACAATAAGCTAGGAATTGGGACTGCAGTCTGCCAGCGACAAATTGTCAAACACCTTACGAAACACTACCTGTTGCTCCTGTGCGGCCTCACTGTGACGCCTGAACATGAAGCTGTCGAGTGCACCAGCCCACGTCTCTTCTGACCTTGACGCGGATACGTTGCCTTCATCTCCTGAAAGATGGCGCCCTTGATAGTGAATTGTGTGGTGCAGGCCGCCAAAAGGCGGTACCTCTGGGAATTGAGGACGAGCATGAGAGCGAGGACGACTTTCAACTCTGAGGTGCCGTCGCCGACGTCCACGCAACCGAGCCTCAATACCTGGAACAGCAGCAGCAGCGGGAGGCTTCTCACTGACTTGACCGAACACCGCGGCCCACTTCGGCTAGGCATGCTTAGAACTCCAAAATCTGATCATCCAATGGAACGTTCTGCCGTAGGTGCCACTGAGCCTCTGAATAGCTACTGAACGACATCTCCCACAACAAACACACGTAGGGGGGCGGAACCACGTGATCAAAAACCATAGCAGAACCTCTAGACTTGGGGCATTCCTTGTTGACCTGACTACGACGCAGATGTTGACTAGCGATACTTTTTGTAGAATACATATTCCCACTCAAGATACGATACACGCAATAGAGCAGTAACAACCCGAGCAAGTTTCCGAAACCCATGGTTAGGAAGATGAGAGCTTGCTTGATGAAGCAGTAGCTGACGCCTAGTAGGGAATTCAGCACTACAGATACCTTCACTACAGATACCTTCCCCCTCCCCCAGGCTGAGACCACATCCGAAACCAGGGGGAGGGGGAGGAGGCGGCGGCGGAGGGGAGGGAGGGGAAGCCCCAAGGGACACGGAGGGAGGTATCTGTTGACTTAGGTATTCACCAGCCAGAACAAGAGGATCTTTGTGGAGGAAAGCGTGTCGTATTTCTTCGTCGCAAAAAAAATCGCAACAGGTCGCACGCGTATTTGCTCAGCGGGCTGTGGGCACTCGCCCATTCGAACATGATCAGCAAGATCAGCAAGAAACTGAGTCCACCAGGAACGCAGCGGCCCTATACAATATCCCTCCCTATCCACACACCTGTACTCTGTGTCTTGACAGTAACCCTCCCCGAACATCGCCCCCAGTACTTGAAGGTGTCGGAGCGGACGCCTCGCAACGTCCTGCATCCACCTCAATCTCTGCACACGCAGGGCGAGAGAAACAGGCACAAGCCTCAGCTCTGTGAGGACCTTCTTATTAGCCATAGCACAGTACTGTACCTCCTCCTCCTCCTCCTCCTCTTGCTGCTTACCACTAGCCTTCCCCCTCAATAATCTGCGTGACATAGCCGCCGGCGCACCGTCCAGCTTATACAAGCTCTCACTACGCAAGACAGAAGCAACCAAGCCAGACATCAGCGCTCCCTCGACAACAGAACGGAACACAATACTCTTCCAACGCCTATTTGAACAATATTGCCAGAAACCTTGTCAAGGATGGTAGCCTTGTCCAGCTTTCTTCACACGTCGAGGGATTTCTGATGCTTGGCTGCCGTCAGACGGGAGATACGGGCCAAGATGCCTGCAAGCACGCGCCACAATGCCAGCAATCTCACTCCTCACCCCTCAGTCTTCAAATGCCCTTCTCTTCCAAATACCTTCCTCCGTAAAGACGGCGTCGTGCTGCAGTAGCACCTCTACCTCCTAGATGCACTAAACATTCCTGCTTGCTCGTGTTGGCCTGAACGTTGGCGATACTTACTCTGTCCGTGAGATGTTCAGTGTTAGTTTTGTTAAGCCTGATATGACCTTCGAGCGAGCGCACAAGCTGAGACTTAGCCAGATCGCCAGCGAACGCAGTCAAAGACACATCGATCGGCTGCTGCGACCAAACACAGAGGCGGACACGATCGTTCGCGCCGTCAGTCAGACAGTGCTTCAACCATGGAACCGACACGCTAAGCCCAGGACACTCAGCACACACAGCTCCGTCCTCGACCCAATGATAAAGACACAAAACCACAGGCACGCTATCGAGCCACCAGGTAGAGTACCAGACCCAATCCCCATTTCTAATGTCCCGCCGACACACTCGAGACTCAGATGTCCGTGTCTCGCGCGTTGTGCAGAAAGCTCCGTCGCAAATTCGTCCGCGTGCAGGCGTATGAGCATCATCAGCATCTCATGAGATACCCTGTGGAACGCATTCGTCGCGTCGTCGCGGGCCCGATGACATCCCCGGGGAGTTCTGGCAGTGCGTGACGGACACGGAGGAAGGCCCCGCATGGCTTACGGAACTCTGCAACGCGTGCTGGCTGGCGGAGGAGACCCCTGCTGACTGGCACGCTGCTCGGGATACATCCATTTACAAGAAGGGCAGCGTCGAGGATTGTGACAACTATAGACCAATCAGCCTCATCTGCGTCACCTACAAATTGTTTGCGACCGCGCTGCTGCGACGCTTGCAGGAGGCCGGAGCAGAACGGCGACTGACGACAACACAGTTCGGCTTCCGGTCAGGACGAAGCACGCAGGACGCTATTTTCGCGGTCAGAAGGCGGATCGATCAAGAGCTCGCTTGGCAGAACGGTCGCGTCGGCGTCCTCGCTCTAGATTGGAAAAAAGGCTTCCGACTCGACCAACGTGGGCGCCATGATCACGGCATTGGGGCGCTACGGATTACCGGGCAAATTCTTACGGATGGTCCGACATATCTACACTGACCGGACATTCACGGTGATTGGACAAGCCACGGGTCTTTCTGAGAGGACGCACAGATCAGGCATTTCACAAGGCTGCCCACTTGCGCCATTCCTCTTCGTGATGCTGATGACAGTCATCGCGCACGACGCCGCAGAGCGGTTGCCTGGAGAGTTTAGACAACAATTGGGTGCTGGCGGGCTGGGCGTGCTCTTATATGCGGATGACACTGCTCATCGGATCGAACGAAAAAGCTTTGCAAGCTCTGTTGGACAGCACTGCGTACGTTGGCGCGCAGTACGGCATGGCTTTGCATTGGTCCAAATTCCAATTGCTGTCAATCGGGAAGGATTACCGCCTCCACACGCCAGCCGGCGAGGCCATCGCAGCCAACAGTGTCATGAAGTATCTTGGTGTGAATCTGCACTCGGACGGCGACGCGGGCAAGGAGCTGCACTGCAAAATCGGCCACGCTTGGGGCGATTTCTGCAAGTTGAACCGCTACTGGAAGAGCACATCCGTGACGAGGGCGCGGAAGATCGAGGTATTTGAATCAATGGTTGTGGGAAGACCCCTATACGGTTTCAGTTCCGCTTGGTTGAACAGAGCCGCCGTCAAGCAACTGAACGGCTTTTACTGTAGATGTTTGCGCCAGATTCTTCACATACCACATTCTTTTTCGAGAATCTCCAACGAAACTGTTCTGAAGGAGGCGGGGAAGCAGCCGTTGAACCGGCGACTTCTTCAACAACAACTGTTATCATATGACAGTGTGGCAAGGGCGATGGAAGATGATGTTTCAAGGCAAAGAACATTCGTGCCGGGAAGCTTGACCCCTCTCACGCAGAAGTACGTCAGGAAGATTGGCCGCCTCAGGAACGAATGGTCAGCTCAGATTGGTAAGGCCGCTGCGCAGTTGAACGTCGATGTGAGTGATGCAGAAGCATGGAAGTCTAGAGTCGTCAATTTCTGCGTGAGTAGCTAGTTTGCACGAGTCCACGCGCCTAGGGCGTATGACTTTTCGTTCGTTCGTTCGATATTTAGTCCAGTTTCTCGTAATCCTTCTTGAACTAAACTCTGAACAAGAATCGCTCTACTCTCTCCTCCTATTCTTCAGGTAATCATACGCGTAATGTCTAGAGGCCTCGTACGATAGCATCGGATTAGCACGCCACAGATACTTGTAGAACGCCTTCCCGAACGGATCTAAGCTATGCACCAGTCGCAGCCCTGCACAATCTGCTTTCCCATCAGCCTTACTGAGAGTGAACGCCTGGCTACAGTTCCAGATCAACGGTGCTTCTTCGTGAAATCGCACAGCGACTAGAATAGCAACCAGACAGTGCCTAATAGCCAGCAAGTCCCAGCTCTCAGCCGTAGCACCTAGGCCCGCACGCGAGTGTGGCTTAAACTCTTTCGGCCAGAATAGCATGCGCCACACTCCTGCAGGCATGGACTACGACGGAGATGTACGGCGAAACTTGGCACGCCTAAAGAACCCCGAAATTGTTTCGTATACATCCTTCGTAGCGCTCGTAGTTTTTTGCAACTCATCCTCGCGCGGCTCGCGAGTGAGACGTGCATCTACCTCTTCATCATACTTGGGAGCGCCCGCGGAACAAAAAAAAACACCTTCCTCCCCAGGCTTCGCCAAAAAGGCCGACCAGGTATCACAGAGGAGGAGGCGGAGGAGGAGGAGGAGGAGGAGGAGGAGGAGGAGTTGCTGCAAGGTCAGGTGTAACGACAACATATGGCGCACTGGCTGCCATTGGTCGTTTGGGCTCGGATCTGTCCAGTCGGTATGCGTCCCTGGATGGCATGTATTGTTTTGCGAGAGGTGATACAGTGGAGTTGCTCTTATGTCAGGCATCCAGAGACCAGTGTTCACGCATTTGTTATGACAGCGATTGCGTGGGTGTGTCACCACCTCCGAGCCGCAGACCTTTTGAAGCAATCGGGTAAGGTAGTGCAACAAGCTTGCCACAAGCGTGCACGAGCAGATGGCACATGTTCTTGCATGAAGTTATTGGGGCACCTGCTTTGGACGGCGATCGTGAGTGCATTGTTCCTTGCCTGTTGTCCTGCACCGGTATCCGCCGGACATGTGCGAAGTTGCTTGCTCTCGGAGAAGAAACGACGACATACACATAAGTTGTCGGATGTCCGCGCGGATTTCTTGGATCGGCGTTGGACACCCTTCCTTGCCGCGCGGAGGGTGCCAGCTGCGGTTCCCGAGGTGCTGCCAGGGGGCCCCAGCGCCGATCCGAGGAATCTGCGCGGATCTCCGAAAATGTATGTTCGTATGTTTATATCATTGGTTGTTCCCCTATGCTCGTTCGTCCTTTGTTGGTCAATCTATCGCGGGTTTACCCAGCTACTTAAACCGCATCGCATGCATGAGAGATCCGCGTTTTGCTGGTGCGGACGGCCAGAGTGCACTACTGGATTACCGTCTCATCTGCAGGGTGAAGGACCAGGTGGATCGAACAGATCGGGGAGGTGGAGAGAAGGAGCGGGACGATTCGGGATTGCGTCGATTGGGGATTGGTGGAACATGCCTACAGGCGCCTTCGACTTCGCGGGAAGTTTCTCCGAGTTTGGAGAAGTGTTGCCGCCGTGGCTTCGAGCAGGCTGTGATTTGATGGGAAGTTCTGCTGTCTCCTCCTGTAGAGTGTCGCTCTCCCGCCTCCAAGGTCCCACATACATTATTCCATTGCCTCCGCTCCTCTGGCGAATGCGCTCTATGACAGGCATTCTTGCTTCACGAGATCTGCTGGTCCAGATATCTCTTCTCACACGGTATCGTCAAGTGGTTGTCTTCTCCAATTGTTAATTGTTCATGCGTCTCTTCCAGGTGGTCTGGCTCTCCAGTCGGGCCAGAATTATTGTTTGCGCATGGCCTTTCGTTAATCGTTAGGTCTGCGGCGTCCGCAGACACGGAGCAATTGCAGCATTCAGAGTTGTTGATTATATTTGCACATACGTTTACCTGTAGATGTGTGCTTGCATTGTGTATAACATGTTTGTGTCATGCGGTGTGGGGCGACGAGACACGACGTCATGTGCTGTGACGCAGTGCAGGGCTCTGCAGTGCGGCACAATGCAGCGCTGCTGGCGACGTGATTCGAGTGGCGACGGATCTGGGGAAAGAGCGTTGATAGTACAGAGTGCCATACTATTCAAGCGATGCCGCCCGGTCACAAGACAAGACCACTGATAGCGATCCAGCGGCCTTCGCCGCATCACTCCACCGTGCTTAGATTGTCCACCAGAGGTCTCTGATAGGCCTCTTTGGTTGAGAATAAGACCGAGTCGAAGTGTTTGAGACTGCTGCATCGGTCAGATTACATGCAGCAGGAATCGGTCGGATCACAAACGATTGACATTGCCCGCAGCGTACGTAGCGTTTTCCAAGTTTCCAAGAGTCATGGCACGAGCTTACAAGAAGCCTCTGTAGGAGCTTGCAGGAGGCCGTTCAAGATCTTCAAGAGCACTCTTGAGAGCGTACGAGATGCTTCATAAGATCTCACAATCGGCCTCGAAGAGCTTACAGAAGGCCTTTTGATAGTTTCCAGGAGGCTGGGCAAGAGCTCCTTGCAGGCCTCTTGAGAGCTTCAAGACAAAGCCATTTCGGAGTTTCCCAGAGGCCATTTGAGGGCTTCCAGAAGGCCTCTTGATAAGGCCTCTCTCCCCAAATGTCTCCTCCATCCCTCCTCTACTCGCCCTCCCCTCCTCCTCCCCTGCTTCCTCCTCTCCTCCTCGTCCTCCTCGTCCTCCTCCTTCTCCCCCTCCTCCTCCTCCTCCTCCTCCTCCTCCTCCTCCTCCTCCTCCTCCTCCTCCTCCTCCTCCTCACTCCTCACTCCTCCCTCCTCCCTCCTCCCTCCTCCCTCCCTCCTCCCTCCCTCCTCCTCCACAATTAAACAATATGAATACTACTCTTCTCTCTCCCCTGGTGGCGTCCGGGAAATGTCCGGCCCCCTTCGCGTACGGTTTTCACACCGGATTCCCGGGAGTTGGGTTTTCGGTTGGATTTTTTATTCAATCTGTTGTTCTCACTGAAGCGTTGGCATCATTTTCTGGTTACCGCTAATTCCGAATCGTGCTCCCGCTGCAGCGTTGGCCTCATTTCCGCGCTTCCGCTCGTTCCGAATCGTGCTCCCGTTGCAGCGTTGGCGTCATTATTTCCAGTGCCATGCCACTGCATGGTTTTCGGTCCTTCCAGATAGGCCCCAAAATCAAGAACATGGCCTCCCGAAAAAACCTCGGAAGTGATTGAACATTCGGTGTCGGTTCGTTGATGTTTGGGCCGCAGAATCCCACCCCACTTTTGGGCGTCGCCAAGCCATGCTATGTCAGGCTACGCGCCCTCATTTCCGCAATTCCGCGCTTGATTTGTTTTCAAGATGCTGCTCTCGCTGAAGCGCTGGCCACATTTTCGGGCTACCGGTCGTTCCGAGTCGTGCTCCAGTTGCAGCGTTGGCCTCATTTCCGCGCTTCCGCTCGTCCCGAATCGTGCTCACACTGCAGCGCCGGCGTCATGATGTCCAGTGCCATGCCACGGCATGGTTTTCGGTCCTTCCAAATAGGACCCAAAATCCAGAAAAAAGCCTCCTGAAAAACCTCAGAAGTGATTGAATATTCGGTGCCAGTTCGTTGATTTCTGGGACCGCAGAAGCCCCCCGTTTTTGGGCGTCGCCACGTCATGCCATGCCAGGCTATGCCATGTAATGCTATGCCATGTTGCGCCATCCGATCGTGCGAATAGAGCAGAGATTTACGCCATGGAAAGGGATGGGAGGGAGGGGTATGACGTCCGATATGACGCGAGGGCACCTAGCTTATCATCCTCCCCCCCCCCCTCCCCTTGCCCGTCCCCTCCCCCGCCGCCGCCGCCAGGCCTTCGCCAGTCCAGCTTCGAGAGGCTCCATGGGGCGGAGGGGCGAAAGGGCCCGGGCGGTACCGGCCGAGGACCGATGTCGTCGCCGTCGGCGTCGTCGGCCTCGTTGTTGGCGCGATATGCGTCTCAGCCACGCGCAGAGGGGGGGGTTGGGAGGGGGAAGGCTTCTTAGAAACACCCCTGCTTCTTAGAAGGCGCTGGCCTTACCCATAGACGTACGGCCAGGGCCTTCTAAGAAACGGGGTGTTTCTAAGAAGCCTTCCCCCCTCTCCCCCCACCCCCCTCTGCGCGCCGCCAAGCGTCGGCGTACGCGGCTGTATCGGATTTGTCGTCGTCCTCCTCGTCCTCCTCATCCTCCTCGTCCTCAGGCAGGCGTCTGCGATGGGAGGGCACGCGCTCCTAATTTCGCAGAAGCCTTGAAAGTCCATGGCCGTCGTGCGGACTCGCCTCCAACGCGCTTAACCTTAACCTCCTCTTCCTCCTCCTCCTCCTCCTCCTCCTCCTCATCCTCCCTCCTCCTCCTCCTCCTCCTCCTTCTCTCTTGTTGCTGCGAGGCGAGGGGCACCGCCGTGCCCGCATTGTCCGTACTTTTGGTGCCCTCCTCCCCCTCCTCCCCCTCCTCCCCCTCCTTCTCCTCCTTCTCCTCCTCCTCCTCCTCCTCTTCCTCCTCCTTTTCCTCCCTGTTCCGTTGCGCGTGCGTTTCCTGCCCAGTTGCCTTCCCGTCCTCCTCCTCCGCCCTGTCTCCCGCCCGCTCCCCTCTATTGGGCGCGTGCCCGCTCGCGGGCCGCTGGCCGCCACGGACTCATGGATCATTTGGGCGACGGTGAGTGTTTTTTTGCGGTGGAAAACTAACTGCCCCTTGTTCGCCTGCGCCGTTTCCTCCTGCCGCCCCCCCTTCGTTCCCACCGCCTCCTTCCTAGACCTGCATTCCCCCAGCGAAGATTTGGCGGGGCGTAGCAGATTTCTTCGAGGCCCACCAACACATGTTCTAAGAACCTTGTTTATGGCTTGCGCAAGTTAGTGTAGGCGCGCAAGCTCGCTTGTTCGCGGGCACAATCCGCTGGGGGGGGGGGGGTAGCGGGAGGCCGCGCGCGGCTGGCAGGCGACCCGCGCGGCGCGCGTCTTGCGGCAGGCGCGCGCGCGGAGGGGAAGGGGGGGGGGCGCGCGCGCGCGCCCTCGTGGCGTCGCTGCGCAGGCGGGGATCGCAGGTGCGCGCGCGGCCCGTCGGGGGCGCGGGCGCGCCGCGGCGCGGCGCAGGCGTTCGCAATTGCCGCAGGCGCGCGCAGGCCCGCTGCCTGTTGGGTTTCCCCACACACCCACACCTGGCGCGCTGTGTTGCGCGTGTCGGGTGCGAAGGTGGCGTTGCGTTCAGGGGTGTCACGCCCGTGCGCTGCCACGTCGCCCCGCGCCGCGGTGGTGTCCACCACGGTAGCGGTGCCGCGCCGCAGTGGGCTTTGCCCCTGCTGCGGCGCTCGCGAGGGGGCGCGTCGCACCCATCGTCGGGGCGCGACGCGCCTGAGCGCTCGTCGCCGCCAGGATTACGATTCGAACATGTTGGGGTGATGTCGTTTCGTTTTGACACCCGATCTCAACGTTCTGGAAATGCTGTTTTGGCTATCCGGTTATTCGTTGGCTCTTACACTGCATCGCTGTGGGCCTATAAGAACGCCGGGACGGTCGGCCCCTGCTCGGCCCAGCGGCCTGTCACCCTTCCGCGAAAAAATGCCTCCAGAGAAAGGCCGAACACTCCCAGAAAGCCCGCGGGCGATACGGCAACAGGACCCGTGGGAAGACTGGGCCTAGGTGGCTGGGCGCGCTCAGGGTGGCCGAAGTTGGGACGGAAAGGGCGGCGGCGAAAACCACAACCAGTTTGTGCCAATCGATTTGGGTCAAAATTCGTTGTCTGCGTCGCCGCGGACGCTGTCTATCTGGGAAGAGCGTCGTCCGCCCAACAATATCTACTAGTTGCTAACAACACTTGGTGTTGGGAATCGTCATGTTGCGCCCTCCTTGTTTTCACGCGTTCTCAATGTGCTGCAACGTGTTCGAATCGTTCCGCCTTTAGGTTTGTTTCTCTTCGTTTATCCTCATCATGCTCTTGCCTTCCGCCTTGGGCGCGCTGCTTGCGCGAGCTGACAACTCGAGCTTAAACCTTGGGTGGCTGATTTATGTTCGCCCGCACGGGTTGCAACGCATCCGACTTCGGCCAGACAAAGGCCGATACCATGCAATATTTCAATCGTTGCAAGGGTATGAGCAATAGTTTAATCACCCGGGGGGCGAGGATAGCCGCGATTTGGGAATCGTGTTTGGGGTTGGAGGGGTGCCCTAATTCCATGGCGACGACACGAAGGCGCGACAATAATTGCGCGTCGCACATCGTGGGGCGCGATACGTGAAGTGAGGTGCCCCAGGCTACAACCAAAACGGTGGCACGTGGAAGTACCTGATCGATTCGCTGGATAGTTCCACGGCGTCGATAGCGTTGCAGCCCGGATCCTGTCACCAGCGGGCCCGGCGAATCGATAGTGCTCCAGGGTTGATTACTCAAGAGGCTTACGCCCACCCGCCGCCCCCCATAAGAGGGATGACGTCAACGGGTGTGGCCTTTTGTTCCCTTCCAGGGGCCTTCTTGGTTTTTTGTTGGACCTCGTGGGGGCCTCTTTTCGAGGCCTTCGGGAGCTTCTGGGGCGCATGCTGGCTGTCTCGGGGGCCCTTTTGGGGCGGAAAACTCGGAATATCAATTCGAGTTGTCTCTATTGGGCCCCTCTGGGCGCCCTGCTGGGTCTCTGTTGGGCCATGTTGGCCGCCTTTTGGGCTGTCGTGGGACTTGTTTTCGGCCGGGGTGAGGTGGCTGGGGCAGGCCATTATTCCAGGTTGGGAAAGTTCGGGATAGTCCCGCGTCCCACCTCGTGCTCAAATGCATTCAAACGGGTTTCTATTGGTTGTGCCATCAAATGGGTCAGGGTGGACCAGGACCGCATACCCTCTGGGTTTCGGATGCAGAGCTGTTGTAGCTAATCAGCGCTCATGTCTGAACACATGAGCTTCTGGAAATGGCTTTGGACTTGTTCGGGGGTACCGCTTGGCCACGGGCGCTTCAGTGCGTCAGCAGTTCAAGTTTTCCTCAGCATACCGTCCTTGCATATCCTCCCTTCCTCTTCTTCGTTGATCAGCCCTCTCCTTCCTCCCTCCTCCCCCTCCTTGGGACAGGGGGCTGCCTCTTGACTGCATTGGCCAGCCAGGCCGACCATGGCCTAGCAACGGGGGGGACAAGGCCGTATAACTCCCGAGGTTTATTTTCGACCCTCCTATCCCACCCCCCCCCACCACCATCCCCCTCCTCTCCTTCCCTAGGTTTCCTCCTCCTCCTCCTCCTCCCCTCCTCCTTTCCTCCTCGTCCTCCTCGTCGTTGTCCTCCTCCTCGTCCTCCTCCTCCTCCTCCTCCTCTTCCGCCCCTCCCCACTTCGAGAGGTTGAAGCCCATCCAGGGGAAGGTGCTGCCGCTGGCGCTGGCGGGGAAGGACGTCGTCGGCATAGCCCCCACGGGCTCCGGGAAGACGCTGGCCTTCCTGGTGCCCGCGCTTGTCCACGCGGCGGGCCAGGCGCCGCCGAGCCGCTTGCAGGACGGCCCGCTGGCGCTGGCGCCCCGGGGGGTCTGGCGCAGCCAGCGGATCCTGCTCACGTCGTCGTCGTCTCGCGCTGCTTCTCCTCCTCCTCCTCCTCGTCCTCCTCCTCCTCCTCAGAAACCTCCTCCTCCTCCTCCTCCTCCTCCTCCTGCTCCTCCTCGTCCTCCTCCTCTTCGTCCTCCTCGTCGTCCTCCTCCACCTCTTCAGCCGTATCCTCCTTCGCCTCCTCCTCAGAAACCTCCTCCTCCTCCTCCTCCTCCTCGTCCTCGTTCTCCTCCTCCTCCTCCTTCCCCCCTCCTCATACTTCCCCTCCTCCTTTTTCTCCTCCTCCTCCTCCTCCTCCTCCTCCTCTTCCTCTGCACCTCTCCCTGAGATGGTTCTGCTGAAGAGCGCGGCAGTTGGCAGAAGAGAAGGTAGAGGCGGCCCAAGATGCGAGGAGCCACGGCCTCGGTCCATCCCCCCCTGGCCCCCAGCCACCCCAAGCAACCGCGCCGGGCTGTTTCACGGGGCGGTCGGGCGGGCAGAGCATGCAGGCCAGGCGTCCTCAGCGCGAGGGCTGGCGGAGGGCGGGCAGAGGGCAGGACGGAGGCAGGAGAAGGGGGGGGCCTCAAGAGGTGCTGGCGCCCACGCGCGAGCTGGTGGTCCAGATCGGGCTCGTGGCCGAGAGCCTGCTGAGGCCCAGCTGGGGCCAGGCCCGCGGACGACGTGTGTGCACCGTACCACGTTGGCGCCTCTCGAGGCGTCGTCGACTCCCGACCCAGGAAGGGTATGGTGAATAGGTTTTCGGCCCTCAGAGCCGAAAAGCTAGGCCCCCTACCGCGCTGGAGCGGGGCCGGAAGGGCGTCCAGACATGGCACGGTGCGCGGGCGCCGTTCTCGTGCCAGGGCCAGGCGCAGCGCGGCCCCCGCCACAGCGCGCAGGCCGGCGCCGGCGCGGAGGGCCTCAGCTGCGCGGTGCTCTACGGCGGCACGCGCAGGGTGGAGCAGCTGGACCAGCTGCGCCGGCAGAGGCGGAGCGCGGGCGAAGAGCGGTCTTGAAGATGTGTTTCCGCCATCGCCGGGAGCGTCGAAGGGGCCGAGACCCCCTGGTGCCCTGAAGCAACGGCGAAGTCGGTATCAACGCGTGGAAGCCTCGTACGTCCTCGCAATGCCATCCTCAGAGTGCGTTCCTGTGCGCTCGCGTCGAGTCAGTCATCGATGAGAAAGCGCCGATTAGGCGTTGACTAGCGTCGATGTAGCATCCAGTAGCGTCGAGTAGTGTCGACTAGCGTCAGGTAACCAGCGTTTGTTGGCGTCGATTTGCAAGAGCCAGCAAGAGCGGACGGGAGGCTCCCATGAGTTGCCACGGAAATCGCAACAGAGGGTTGTTGACCGTTTTCGGCCTCCAGGGGGTGCCGCTGGGCCCCAGCATCGTACAAGAACGGCTCGAGGTGGAATGCCAGCCCCAGGCCCCCCCTTTGCGGCGCAGCCGGCATCGGGGATGCCTTTGCCAGGGGTCATAGGTGCAAAGATGGGGTCCTGAGGGACGGGGTCCTAAGGACGAGCTGCGTTAAACAACGTAAACCCGTCCTTGGATCCCTTCCTATCCTTAGGACTCCATCCTTCAGGACTCCATATTTGAACCACCGAAGGGGGGCTTGGAGGGTTAATATCCATCTAGTGCCGCCGTGGACGTATAAGTGGGCGGCTCGCACGCGGAGGTGGCGCGAGTGGGGGCGGCCTTCATAAGAATGCGGGGGTCTGCTTAGATGGCAGAGGTCTGCCCAGAAGGGCTCAAGGGCCTCTAAGCGCAGATCCAAGAAATCCGCGCGGAGCGCCAAAGTTTATGTTAATGGTTGTTTCCTTCTTCTAACTCACCAAAAGCCGGGAGGTATTCCAAGAAGCCCCCTGCCTCCGTTGGGCGTCGCGTCATTGGGGGGACGAGAAATCGGGGGGGCAGCGAGGGCTGCAGAAAGGGGGCCCTTTAGGGCTGTAAAGGGGAGCCTTTACGGCCCGAGCAGTACACCTTTCTTCGCCGCCCAATACACCTTAGGCGATGCTTAAGAAAACCTAAATTTTCGTCCAGAGTCTCGATTATTCTTAACTTTTCAATGTAAATCCCAAGATTTTGATAGAAGTTCTGGGTTTTATGAAATTTCTGAGACTATGAATTTCTTAACCCATGATTTCTTAAGCATTTCGCAGGGTGTATGTATCCCACCCCCCATTCTAAGCGACGCCCAACTGTCCCCCCCGCCTTCTTCAGAAACCCGCCCCGCTCGCGCCGCCTCACAAGTGCGCGCCGCCGGCAGACAAGCCTCCCAGCCGCCCTGGGACGGGCGTCCCCGACGGCGGAGAAGCTGACGTCATGCTGGCCCCTGCGGAGGAGGGCCAGTTGAGACAGCGGAGGTCTTCCTCCTCCTCCGCCGCCTCCTGCCTTGTCCTGTTTTGCCTCCTAGTTATACCAATAATCGGCCAGAGTCCTAGGAAATTGCATGCCAGATGCTCCCAATACTTTGTTCCGAAATTGAGAACCTCCAGTATTTGCAGTATCAGGTCAGATCCGCCCAGAATATCACCCTCCGGACCCCTCCGAGGGTCCACCCTGACCGAGGCGGATCCAGGCGCAGCAGCGACCGAGAGGCCCCCGGGAGCCTCCAAAAGAGGCCGCCGTTGCCTCGACGCGCCCTCCCCCGATCCCCGGACCTCCGATGGTCTGATGGTTCCAGCGCGGGGTCCCCACGGCTCCGGGCAGCTCCCCGCGGAGCAGCCTTTCGCTCTGGGGTTAGCTTCGGGGGCCCCCAAACGGGGTGGTCACACCACACCGTGTGGTGAGTCGGTGGAGATTCGAGATCACCGCACGGTTTGGGGACTCGGGTCGTTCTCCGAGGACGTCTCGGGCGACTAGGGTATCCGAGGTCCCCAGAACCGTGCGTTGACGGACCGTGAGGTGAGGTCTTGGGGGATTTCGAGGTCACCGCACGGTCTGTCACCGCACCGTTTCGGGACTCCAAATCGTTATTGGACGGTCCCGGGGCTTGTTGAGAGCCCTTGGAGGCCGAAAGTTGCCGAAATCATCCCGTCGTGCTTTGGTCACGCTGCGGGAGGGCCTGGGAAGTTTATGCTACACCTCTTGGCCTCCCAGGTGGGATCCGAGCATATGGGCTCGGAGGATCGCACCGCATCGCCGATGCAAGGCTGATGCATCGGCGATGCGGCTCGATGTGGAGCCCGATTTGTGATCCACGCTGGCGTCGCCGATGCGCTGTACACGTCGCCGATGCATCGCCGATGCATCCGCAATGCATCGGCGATGCGGCGCGATCCTCCGACCTCATCTACTCGGATCCCATTTGGGAGGCCTCTGGGCAGATCGCGAATGTGATTGTCTAGGCCCGACGAGACCCAAAGAGAGCCCTGAGAAAAAAACAGGGCGACCGTTGGACCCCGCACAGGGTCCGCCTGAGTGCAAGCACTCTTTGGGAAGCGGGCCGAGGTGTGGACTCCAGACAGGGTCGGCGTGGCGTAGTGCAAGCGCTGTTTGGGCATCGGAGGCAGCCGCCGTCGTCGTCGTCGCGTCTTCTGCCTGCCGCCTCTCCTCCCTCCTCCCTCGCCTGGTGGCAGGGGACATGGGTAGCAGCAGAGCAGAGAGTGTGCGGACGAGGAGGACACCTCTTCTCCCGCCAGAGGAGGGTGCACATCGTCGTGGCGACGCCGGGGCGGCTGCTGGATCTGGTGTGCAACTTCTCCGCGTTCCGCCTGCGCCGCGTGTCCTTCTTCGTGCTGGACGAGGGCGACCGCATGCTCGACTTTGGCTTCGAGGATCGCGGGCAACGTTAGGGGGGGTGATAAGCTCAGAGGGGGGGGAGGCGCACCGGCCCCCACAGGGGCTTGGTAGCCCCACGCCGCCCAGGAACGTTTGGATTCGCTGTCCGGGGCCTATCGCCGATCCGTCGGCGATGCATTTTCGACTCCAGGTCGATGCTCCCTCCCTGAGCTGGTCCCTCCCCACCGTTGCCCCGCAGAGGAGGACATCACGAGGACCGGATCGGACGGCATCGCCGGCGCGCATCCGGGGGGGCGGGGCGAGGGGGAGGGGCCTTCTAAGAAGGCCAGGTGCTCCTTCGCAGGCGGGGGCTTTTGTTTTCAAAGAAGCCCTTCTGAGAAGGCCGCCCCCTCTCGCGCCACCACCTTGCGGACACCGCCAGCGACAGGGGGGGAGTGGTTCGAGATTTTTGGCCTCGAGGGTACAGATCCTCTCGCATTGTCGGCGCTTCTCCAGCCTCGCGACGTTCTCCAGCAGGTGCGCCTGGCCGTGAGCCTTCTGGGGCTGCCCGGGTCGTCCCGAACAGCCGCCAGAGACCCGAATGATGAGCCGAACGCCAGACGACGAGGACCACTAGGGTCGGACGAAAACAGGAGGATTGAGCAGCAAGGGGGTCACGAGATCTGAGGCGTGCAGCTGGCATCGGCCCCGCCACCACGCACCTGCCTTGGTGCACGGCCACCTCGTCGGCGCGGCGCCAGGGAATCCAGCGATGTGAGCTGATGCGCGAACCCCTCCCCTTATCCCAGGCGATCGCAGACATGGATTAAGGGGGCGTGGATTCGGGACGGGTCCCGTTTCCAGGGGAAATCGCAGATTTCCGCCGAACGAGGCGGCACCGCCGCATTTTGGGGAGGGCACCTCCCCCGATCCGTGGATTTGGCGAGCGCGCGCCAATCCATGGATCGCTAATCCATGCTTGCGCGCCCCCGATTATCACCTCCCCTCCAGCTGTCCGACGATTCGAGTTTGTGAGGCGCGGTCCCGGGGAGGTTCCGACCTCTTTTTCCCAGGGATGGCTTTCGTCCACGATCCACTTGTGATGGCCCGCGGGGGGGCCCGATGCCGGACCACGGAGGCCGAATGTAGAGGAAAAGACGGGGCCCGCGGATTGGAACGCCTCTATTCGGAGGTTGATAGACCTCCTACCCTGACACGTCGAATCCCAGCCCCCACAACTATGGATTTTACATTTCAGCGTTTTGCATTTATGGCGGAGATGCGAAAGTGTGGGCGCCCTGTCCGCGAGGCCATTGGCAGCTGCCGCAGGGGGGACCCGCGCGCGCGGCGACGTGCTGGGCCCATTCGACGCGGCCGCGCCCGCGCCAGCATTCCCAGGGCCGCGCGTGCCACGGCCGCGGCATACAGTTTGAGGCGACGGCGGCGCTGTCCCTCGCACGGCAGCGTCGCTGGCCCAGCCGCGGGCATCCGTCCCCGCCTCCGTCACCCCGTCGTAACCCGCCAACGGAAAAATTTAGATCGGGAGCGTGTCTCGTGAGGCAGCTGTTCCAATATAAAGTTGTTGTTGGGGGGCGTTTATGTAAACACCTTTTTCTGATTACATAAACTTTTCGGGGCTCGCCCGCGCGAGACGTTTCGCTTCGGAGAAGTTTAGATCGATGTTATACAGAGTTGGTATAAACTTGTTTCGCCTGGTGCCTAAACTGTGTGTTTGGGGTGGATCTAAATTGTTCGATGCGCGCCCGTGCGGGGCGGGCCCCGGGCGCCGTCCCGGGCACTTGCCAGCGCCGCCAAGAGCCGACGCGCCCCTCGGTTTTTACCTTGGCACTTGCCAGCGCCGCCAAGAGCCGCGCGCGGACATCCACAATGACACTCGGCATTGACAGCGCGCCAGCGCAAGGCAACGCCAAGTTCATCAAACGCAAGCGAGCATAGCAGCAGCGTGTCGTTGGCATTGAATTGCGCGGCGTTGCCGTTGGCTGGCCGTCGAGCTGTTCCCGCTTGCAGTTCACGCGCCGCTTGACGGTCCCATTGGTGTAAAGTTCTTCATGTGGGGGGCGGGGCCGTTTATTATGGCTTCACTATTATTTGGGGAGATAGGCATAGGGGGGATACATCGACCCCTAATCGCCCACTGGTCGTCGATAGGGCCCCGATAGTTCCAACCTGCCCAGGAAAATGGGTATTGATTATCAGAGGCCTATCGCCGATGTGTCGGCGATGTATCGCCGATTCCATGTCGACGCGTCCCCCCTATGCCAGTCCCCCCCATCGTTGGCCCTCACATTTGGACTATATGCGCGTCGCCCCCCCCAGGGGGCGACGCACGCGCTCAGCAAAATCTGCTGAGAAAATGGTTCGGTGGCGGGCGTTCCGCGGCGGTGGCCCCAGGGCGGGCGCTCCAGGCTGAACGCCGCCAGTGGCCCAGCATCGGCCGATGACGAACACTTTGCCCCGTCCTCCTCCTCCTGCTCCTCCTCCTCCTCCTCGTCCTTTTGCTCCCCGTCATATTCCTCCTCCTCCTCGTCCTCCTCCTTCTCCACCCCCTCCGCCGCGATCGTTCAAGGTTGAACAGTCCACGGGGGATCAAAGACCAACGCGCCGCGCGAGGATCTCTGCCGAGATCCGGCCCGACCGCCAGATGCTGTTCTTCTCGGCCACCTGGCCGCCCGAGGTGGAGCAGGCCGCCTGCCGCCTGTGCAGCCGCGGGGGCCTGGCGGAGAAGGTCTTCGCCCGCCCCGAGGACGAGGCCGGGGATCGTCCACTGCGGTTGCGGCGTTTGGGGAGGGGGCGGAGCACAGGGGAAGTTTCGGGTTCGAGGTTCCGGGTTTGGGATGTCTTTGTCGGCCTTCGGCGGGTTTTCAGCCTCCAGCAGCTGCGCCTCGACAAGAGTGTTCCAGGGGTCCCCGGATCATCCTGAACGGCCGCACGAGAGCCGACACGATCCCAAGGCCAGACCGTCAACATATTGAGAAATTCAAGGCGGAGGTTCTTCGTCGTTTCCAGTGCCGTGGGGCCCTCGCCAGGTTCTGGGACCGTCAACCGTCAAAAACCGGGAAGTGGTCCAGAGTTTTGGTTCGCCCACGTTGAAGAGTAAGAACAAGACATCGGAGGTCATGGGATCGAAGGAGTATCGGTCAAGATGTCGGCGGATGACCCTGGCGTGTTTCGTCTTCTTTGGGGGTTGGGGACCTCTTGCGGCCTGTCATCGCCACGGCAGGATCCGCCTCGAAAAGGACATTTTAAACATTCTTGGTCGAGAACGGCCGTTAGCAGGGCGGGGGGGGTCACCTTTCTTGCTGGCGCCGTCTGAGAATGCTTCCAGGAGTAGCCAAAGACAGTTCGGGTAGCAACTGCCTGTAGGGCTTTGCTACGGCCGAGCGCGCAAGCCTAACAGGATCTACGGCAGTGCGCCATCCTTCGCTTGCTCCTCCTCTTATTCCTCTTCGCTCCTCCCTCATCCCTCCCCATGATCCTCCCCCCGTCGTCGTCGTCGTGTTCCTGCCTCGTTTGAGTGTAGATTAACCCGACAAGACGGTGCATTTGTCTCATGTGCTTCTGGCCAAGAAGGTGTACACACATGACGTGGCTAGCCTGAACGAGGGCTGGCTACAAGTGTGGCCGCATGTCTTTCCAGGGTTCGGCCCTCGTGTGGCTACGTACGCCAGCCATCCGCAGATGTATCCAGAAACAGGCCACCGCATGTGCCGGATGTCATTCCAACTGCAAGTGCTCCCAGCCTGCTGGATTACTTCAGACACCCAGCTTGGGGTTCTCGATCATAGCGCGATCATTCAGACAAAAAGGACGCACTGCGTTGCCGAACTGGTGGAGTAAAATGGTCATCCAGAGGATCATCCCCTGAAGAACAGATGCCGTGGCCCACGTGTGCAGCGCACGTTGTTGTGCAGCGGAGAACTTTGCAGCGCTGCAAGTGAGAGCATGACGGCAAGGGGGGGAGTACGAGGAGGAGAGGGGAGGAGGACGACGACGGCGACGACGAGGCCACTTCCCCCCGGGCAGAGTCCCAGAGCACGATTCGATAACAGAAGTGGAGACAAACAGGTCCTTTCGGCCTGACCCCGCCTGCCTCGCTTCCTCCCTCCTTTCGATTTCCACCTTCATTCTGCTGTCCTTGCGTGGCGCACTTTGCAGTGCAATGAAGACGACGAGGAGGACGAGAAGAGGAGGAGGAGAGAGAGAAGCAGGACGCGGAGGAGGGAAGGGAAATGATACAGCAACACCATATTCTATTCCCAGCGTTCCCCTATGTTGCGCTTAGCAACCCGTAGCTCTCCGTCGCAGGTGTCTGCAGATCCATAGCATGGTGCGCGCTCTGCCGTCGCAGATCCGTATAGGCATATGCTATTGAGTCTTTCTCTGCTGACCCTGAGCACTCCCAGACAGCGGCGACACGAATCGCGACGTTACCGGGGGGAGGAGGGGGCGCCGGGCCGGTAACGGGCGGACAAGGAATGAGGTGCAGTAACTAACTCAAGACGTGGACGATGGTTGCTGTTATGCGCGGCCCACCACTCTGCTATGATGGGATGTGGCCTCGGTGCTGAGCGCTCTCCGCGCTTGTCACCCCAGGATCGAGACGCTGTCAAAGCGGGGCAGGATAGACCCCGGGAGGGGTCGAGGAATTTTGTCTTGAGCGGATTCGGGCCTGGCGGTGGGGCCGCCGCGGCCTCGACTTCGCGGTGTCTGCTTCTTCGGAGGGCCTGGTTTATCCCGTCGCGCCGCTATCCGCATGGAATCCACGCGGAGCCCGCGCCAAGCCCACGCGAAAGCCTCATGCAGCCCGCGTCGGGCATGAGAGCAGACCGCAGCTTCCCATGCACACGAGGTGCCCCCGAAGGCACACCGTAATAACTGGCCCGGCTGGGTTTGGGGGGGAGGGGGGAGGGCAAGCAGCACGGAGCACGAGCAGCTGGAGCCGCAGCCGCTTTCGCCGCTGACCTGGGCCTTGGAACGGCCACGCAGCCACGACGTTGAAATGAGGACAACCTTCGGCTCGGGCGCGGCTCTGGTTCGCAGGCCGTTCCTTAGCTTTGATTTGGATCGGGGGATCACGTTCGTGACCGAGGCTCGCTGTGGCCAGAAAAGCCCCATGCGTTCCTTACGCCGCGGTCCTCCCCACAGTTCCCATGATCTTTTGTGTTTGTTCCCAGCGGGTTCCCCCGGAGCTCCCGACCCCTTCCCCGGGGCGAGTTGTTCGCCCCGGGTCCACTTGTGATGGCCCTGGGGCTCGGCGATAGCCCCGAGAACGCCGAGAGCGACAAGCAAACTCCGTCTCGACTTGCTCAATGCGTTGGAGGCTTTGGGCTTCTGGCAGCACTGTGGCTGCGCTCGAGATCGGCAGGCGTACGACGACCTGCAACATCGCAAAATGGCAAGATCCTAGAGCAATCGACCAGAGACCTGAGCCCGATCTTGATGCGGCATTCTCTTGAGCTGGATTGAATCGTGAGGGTCCCGGGGCCCGCAACAGGGCAAAATCGCCCGTTGTGATCAAATGCGACGCCAGGATCCAGGGATCTCGCTTGCTCGATGACTCGATGGCGTTACTCGAGATCGGCAGGCGCACGACGACCTGGCGACCGACGGCCTCGGCGGCGGCGCCGAGGGCTCTGGGCAGAGCGGTCTCGCGCTGCCCCCGCGGGTGATCACGCAGACGATCGAGGTGATCGAGAGCAGCTTCGGCGACTGGGACAGGCCACGGCGGGGCGACAATCAGGGTGAAACATCCCCTGAGATCCTTGCGCCGCATTCTCTTCACATCGGGCGATTCTGCTGTGTTGCGTGCCCCGCGACCATCAGAAAAAATGAAAAACAGGTGCAGGAACGTGCTGACCAGGGCTCGAGTCGTGATTTGTTCACGATGTTGCGATGTCTTCATGACGTCGGGTCGCAGGGCCGGGGGGAGGGCGCTGGCTCAGGGGGAGAAGGATAGATAGTCTTATGGCTTATGGGGAGGGACGTTTCAGATTCGAGGTTCCCGGTGTCCCCGTGGTTTCGGTGGTTCTCGGCGGTTTTCCCGCCTCGGGCTGCTCTCCAGCTCCTGCTGCGTGTCCCTCGCCGAGAGAATTGCCGCGCCCCGATCGCCTGGGCCCCAGGGTGGGAGGAGGCATCGACCCCCATCGCCGGTCGAGCCCTGGGACTGCACCCCGCCCAGGATCGCGCGGCGTTGCTGTCGGGGGCCTCGCTGATCTAAGTGTCCGCGATGAATCTCCGATTCCAGGTCATCGTCTCCTCCCCCGAGCCCGTCCCCCCCCTTCTCGACCCCCTCAGAAAAGAGGGGGGATTGATCGACCGATCCATGGCCCAAACTCCAAGCTCCAACGTCCAATATCGATCGATCGGACCACCTCAGGGGGAAGTGATCAGGCAGGCCACGGATGGTGATCGTTTTTGTTATTGATTGTTTTGCCGATCGGCGCGGGCCTTGTTTTTTGCGCCTGTTTCGAGCGGGTGGGGTCCCCCGCATAGGGCGCATTGTCGCAAACAGTCGCGCGAAGCAGAGGTCCAGAGCCAGACCCCCCCCCCTCCCCCCCCTCTTCGCTCAATTTACTAGGGTGCATCGATTGATCGAGCGATTCGAGACCCAAGGTCCAAGTTCCAACGTCCAAGATCGATCGGATCAGCCGAGGGGGGGGTCGCCCCCAATCACAGATGCATTTAGCAACCTGAAGAAAATGGTCCCTCGTCCCTTTCCCTACGATTGGCAACACCTTCACGCGATGCCAATCTTGAGGATTCGCCCAGTGTCTGAGGGTACGTCCTCGAGCTCGTCAATCGCAAGAGCTCAGGGCTGGCCATTCATCGCCGATCGGGGCCTGGGCACCCCACCCGGCACAGCAGCGTGGCGCGCTGAGAGCGCCAGGGACGGCGCCGGAGGCGCCGTCATAGGGGGGTCCAGCGCCGATCTGAGAAGTCCGCGCGGACCTTCGACCACAGCCCGAGATCCAAGTTGCAATCTCCAAGGTCGATCGATTGAATCGGCTCAGTGGGAGGAGGAGGAGGAGGAGGAGGAGGAGGAGGAGGAGGAGGAGGGGGAGGAGGGAGGAGGAGGGAGGAGGGAGGAGGGAGGAGGAGGAGGGAGGAGAAGAAGGAGGAGGAGAGAGGAGGAGGAGAGAGGAGGGAGGGAGAGGAGGGAGGGAGGAGGGAGGAGGAGGAGGAGGAGGAGGAGGAGGAGGAGGAGGAGGAGAGCGCTTCGCCTAAGCCCTTCGAAGAAACCCTCCACTGCATGAGGGTTGCTACTTTGTCAGGGTGCGCGGCGCTGGGCCCGGCGCCGCTCCCCTCCCTTCTGAGGTGGCTCGGCTCGCCCCCCGACCGTCTGCTCTTTGCCGACTGGGGCGTGGACGCCCCACTTCTGAGCGTGCGCTTTCTTGCGTTCGGGGGGGCCTACTGGCCGACCCGTCGGCAGTGTGTCGTCGAGTTCGGGTCAACTGTTCCCCCTGGACGACCCCCCTCGAATCGGCTTGTGGGGGTAGAGCTAGATAGACCGGTGCAAACCTGCTCAATCCGACGTGCATCCAGATGAGTCAAGGTAAATCCAGAGAGTTCGTGGGAGCTCCAGCGCCTGTCAAAGGACGGGAGAAGTCGTGAAGCCTTTTGCGGCCCTGGGCCAGTCTCCCCCCCTTTCCCTCCCTCCCTCCCTCCCTACTTGGGGCCTGGCTGGGAGGACAGGGATGAATTGTTCCAGAGCGCTTCAGAACGCTCCTGGAGCACTCTGGAACGACGGCCGCGGCGCCTGAACCCCTGGATTTCAGGGATCCTGAGTTGTCCCAGTCCGATGTGGTCCATCCTTCCTTCGCGCTTTCTCCCTGCCCCCTTCGCTCCTCCCTCCTTGGTTGCCGTTGTGTGCTTTAAACATGAATTGAGTGATCGTTTGGGCCGCAGAGGACCGTCGCACAGTGCCTTTGCCCCTTCGCCAGCGCGAGCTCGGATTGCATCCATTCCGGAGAAGGCAAACATCATAAAACGAAACGACAAACATCTAGACGATCCGCGTGACCACACCAGCTCTTCCAGAAATGATGCCCAGACGAGTTGCCCTGATCAGAGATGAAGAGGAGAATGCAGTGACATAAAGCGCTGGATAAGACGTCGTACCTCAAGAGGGCGAACATGAGGAATCGGATGATGACCAGGAGGAGGATGGTGAAGGGGAGGAGGGAGGAGCAAGGAAAATGTACACGCGGATGGTGATGATGTTGATTATGCTGATGTTGTTGATGATGATGTTGTTGATGATGACGATGATGATGATGGTGATGATGATGATGATGATGGTGATGATGATGGTGATGGTGATGATGTTGTTGATGATGATGATGGTGGTGATGATGGTGATGATGATGGTGATGGTCATGGTGATGATGCCGATACTAATGCTGTTTCTGATGTTGATGTTGATGATGGTGGGTGTGATGATGCGGAGCAGGAGGAGGAGGAGGATACAGATGAAGATGAGGATGAGGATGATGATAAGGATGAGGTTGAGGATGAGGATGAGGAGAAGGAGCAGGAGGAGGAGAGGAGGAGGAGGAGGAGGAGGAGGAGGAGGAGGAGGAGGAGGGCAAGCAAAGCGGCCAGAGGCCTCTAGGATGCCTCTCGGAGTCTCTTTGGATTTCTTTCGAGAGTTTCTTGGAGTTCTATTGGGGCTTCTTGGGGGTCTCATGGCAGTCCGGGAGGGCTCTTGAGGCGTCTTGCACTCTCGGGGGCCTCTTGGAGTCTCTTTTGGGTCTCTTGGGAGCCTCTTGGGGGCATCTTGGGGGCATCTCGGAAGCCTCTTGGGGCTTCCTGGGCACCTCTTGGGGCCGTCTTTGGGCACCGCCTGGCAGTCTCGAGGGCCATCTTGAAAGAGATCGATCAGTTTAGGAGGACTCCTTTCTTGGCCGCAGGAGGCCAACATGTGGCCAAAACCCCCGTAACACTACGGATTGTGGGATTTTCGCCGAGGCCTGTTGGGGCGTCTTGGGCGCCCTTGGGTGGCCTCTTGAGGCGTCTTGGGGGTCTCTTGGGGGCTTTGGGGGGCGCCTCTTGGGAGCCTCTTGGGACCTCCTGGGCACCTCTTGGGGCCGGGCCATTTTGGAGGAGATCGATCGATCAAAGGAGGGGGGCTCCTCAATCAGGGTCCCCTTACCAGGAGGCCAGATATTGTCAAAACTATAGTAACCGGTAAAATTGATGATTTTAGCATCTTCGCATGAGTTGTTTGGTTTCTTGGGTGTCTCTGGGGGGCCCCCCGCGGCGTCCTCGGGGACTCTTGGGAGCCTCTCGGGGCATCTTTGGGGCCTTGTGGGTGCTTCTTGGGGCCTCCTGGGCCCTCTTGGGGAGGTCTTGGGGCACCCTTGGGAGCCTGGTGGGTCATCTTGGGGCCATCTTGGAGGAGATCGATCAAAGGAGGGCAGCTCCCCAATTAGGATCCCCCCACCAGGAGGCCAAAATGTGGTCAACGTCGTTTATGCAAAAATGACTGATGTTGACTTCTTCGCCGAGGTCGTCGTGGACGCTTTGACACCTCGCGCCCCCCCCTTCGGGGTGGGGGGGTAGGGCGGGTCAAGACACCCTCGTAGATAGCAAACCGTCTAGCTCACTCTCACCCGCCTCTCCAACACGTAAGTGGCACCCGATCCTCAGCATGTTCAGCGGTCGCTTCTGGATGGACAGCTACTGGTAACCAAAACTTTCCCCATGTGCGCGACGCTGGAGCGACGCTGGAGCGAGGAGCGCCACGCGTGCCAGGCGTGCCACGCGCGCCAGGCACCCCTGTGGCCTAAGCGTGCCAGGCACGCCTAGTGCGCCAGATGCGCTACGTGCTCCACGTGCGCCAGGTGTGCCGCATACTCCAGGCGCGCCAGATGCACCACGTTCGGGGCATGTGCAGAGTGTGTCAGGTGCGCCTGCGCACGTGACAGCACACATAGGGGAACATGTCGGCCCCCATGGTTTTTGTCGAAAACCAATGCCCATCAGGGTGTCTGGTGGGCCTGCACACAGCAGGCCATGCGCCACCACCCCCGCCGTCCCTGTAAAAAACCACTCGACAGTGATCGCGGGGTGGCTGCGCATGTTCCAGATTTAGCCGCGAGGTGCATGTTGTATTCTTTTTGACAGGGATGGTGGCCCCGCGCACCGTCGGCAATCTGGCACCCCCGCCGTCCCTGTTAAAAACAATACGAAGTGCCCGCGAGCCCCACGAACATGACGCAAGACTTTGCCCAACAGTGTACTTTGTATCGTTTTTGGCAGGGATGGTGACGGGGACCCGCATTGGGTTGGTTGCGCAGCATCCGAATGTGGAGGCAGAGTGTGTTTTGCATTTCTTGGGCATGATTGGCTGGGGGACGGGGAGCATAGGGTCGGCATTGTTCCTTGTTGGCTGCTGGTCGCCTGGGGGAGGGGGTCTATATAAAAAGGAAGAATGGTGAACCCCTCCCCGAAGCGGAAGAAGGGGGTTGTAGGAGGAAGCTCGATAAATTTCTCACGCCCTAAAGGGCTGGTGCGACTCCTCCCGGACCTCCTCCAGAAGTCCAGAAGTCCCCAGGGGGTCTTCAGAGGCAGAGACACTTCGCAGGCCCCGGGGGGAGGTCCCAGAACGCAGCAGGAGCGATCAACGACCTCGATTTCATATCCTCGACCCTTCATTGCAGGGTCCACTCGATCGTATACAGTCAAGGTCCACAGTACGGATAGGCTGCTTGATCAAGGCTATCCGTGCGTCCTTGTTTCTACGGCCCATCCTGAGCCAATGTTGGCATCCAAGGAACTCTAGATGGTACATGAGACCTTCAAGGGTCTTATATCCTTGCCTTGCATCCTTACCCAATTATATCGATTGTATCCACGACGCTCGGTCCGATTCGGTAGCGATTCCGGCCCGTTTGATCCGATGCGATTCCTATGTTCTGACGATCCGATGCGGCCTGACGTTCGCATGGCGTGGTTGTGTTCCTTGCGCGGCCGACCACATCCGACCTCGATTCACGACGCACGATCCGATCAGACTCCTCGATTCGATGCTGACGCTCCACCCGCTTCGCCCTCCCCTGGTCTTCCGCGGACGACCCCGGGGCCGACACAGTTGTGCACCGTGCCGCACTGGAACAGGGCCCGAAGGGAGCCGAGACATGGCACGGTGCATGGGCGTCGCTCCCGGCACTCCGACACCTCGATTTGTCCGTTGATTGTTTCGCAGCGTGGACCCCCTGAGCAGAGGAGGAGCTGGTGTACCCACACTGCTACCCTTCTTTTGTTTTTGCCGTTTTGGGCCTCCTCGATGCCCTCGTCGCCACCGCTGGATTCGCCTCGAAATTCTGGTCAGGACGCACCCCAGGAGAGGTCCGGGGAGCAGCGGTATCGGTACTTTCTGGTTCCCCTCCTTGATGTCTGGACCTGCTCCACAGGACCCGGGGCCCGGCGAGGGCCCTCAGGAGGCCGAGCACGGCCAAAAATCGCTTTTCGCGATTTTTGTCCATGGCGCGAGGGGGGGCTGGCTGGGCTCGTGGAGGAAGAGCAGGTGTCATGACGCCAACATCGCAGCGGACTCCGTTCGGAAAACGATAGGATGGGCCCGGAATGGCCTCGAGAATTTCGTTCCGGTTTTCGAGGTAAATTTCGTGCGGATTGTTTGGGGCCAGGAATGAAGACACAAAACCCACGCGCACTTCACTCCGCTTTCCACCCGCCGTTTCGGGGTTTTGCGCTGACAGAGGTCCACGCGACAATCCGCTGCAGCTCGTCTGCAAGGCCGGTGCCCTGACATTTGCTAGTCTGGCTCCACGGCCTCGCGGGCCGGCCCCTGGGCCGCGACCCTGCGGATGCGGGGCGTCTTGTTCGCGGGTGCCCCACGCGGAGCGTCACCGCGCGACCGCGTCTCTGTGGAGTCGCGCACCGGAGTCTGCCTGCGAGGGCGCGGCTGCGGGTACGGTCGGAGTCTGCCTGCGAGGGCTACGGCGCGGCCTCCTGCCCCGACACACGTCGATTATCAAAGTGGCCGTTTTCGGTTCGCCAGAGGGCGTCGCGGCCGTCATTTTTGCGGGTCCAGGTCCGTCGGGTTCGGTCCTCGACTGTTTTCCATAAAGGGTGGTTTACTAAAGGGAGGTTTGTCCACCGCCGATACGGTCGACGCTCGTAACACCAGCCCCCCTCGCGCCGAGAACGAGGTCGCTGCGGGAGGTTATCCATCCCGGGGCCTCGGGGCCGTCAAAAGGCGGCTCGGGGTGGAGAGTTGGCCCTGGGGGAGGGGATCCAGACCTTTGGGGGGCGCGGGCCCCCCCGCAGGGGGCGCGGGCCCATGCGCAAGAAGTTGCCGCTGCTGCTGCGCCACCAGAAAGTGGCGACAGTAACTGACTCTAGACGAGGGCGTTTTTGTTGCTGTTACGCGCTGCCCACCGCTCCGCCATGATGGGATGTGGCCTCGGAGGTTCAGCGATTTCCGCGCTTGCGCCAAAAATGGCTATCTTCAGATCTGACGTTGCAAAGGAAATTCAAGATCGCAGAAAATCACCGCCGGAGCCCCGGACCCCATCTTTCTGCATCATTTTTCAAGCCGGATCGATCTGTGAGGGTCCCGGGGCCCGAAGCCAGGCGAGAAGGCTTGTGGAGAACATCGCTGCGACGCCAGGATCTCAGGGCTCGCAGACCCCTCGCAGGGGGCGCGGGCCTATGCGCAAGAAGCTTCCGCTGCTGCTGCGCCACCTGGAGGGCGCCCTCGGTGGCGAGGTCGGCGCGCCGCCGGGGAAGGCGCTGATCTTCGTGCGGACCCGCGTGGCGGCGGAGGAGCGTCGGCCCCACGCGGGGGGGGGGCGCTGGAGATGCAGTCGGGACCCACGGACACATGGCGCTCCGATGTTTGTTGGTGCGCGGGTCCCTGGAGATGTCTGAGTCGTTCTTGTTGATGGGCCCCGGATTTGTCGAGGGCCTCCAGAGACTGATGTGTGTTCCAGAGCCTCGGATGTCTGGGTCTCGAGGAAACCCAAACACGGATTAAGGCTCGTGGATTAGCGACAGGTCTTTTTCCCCCAGAAACGGCGCGCATTGCCACCACCTCGGGGGCAACAGGCGCCCTTTCTCGGGGGATCGGAGGACGCCAACCATGCACCCACGCCGATCTTGGAGCTGGCTATGGGTCTGAGATCGCTCCTCACGCTAGCCCTGGCCCTGTAGCCCTCGTCGCCGCAGCCCTTCTTCGTTTTTCGTTTCGATGTTCTTTTGTTTTCGCACAGGCCTCAAATGGAACCTCGCCCCTCGCCCTTGCCCAGTAGCCCTCGTCGCAGCCCTCCTTCATTTTTCGTTTCGATGTTCGTTTGTTTTCGCACAGGCCTCAAATAGAACCTCGCCCCCTCGCCCTGGCTCAGTAGCCCTCGCCGCAGCCCTTCTTCGTTTTTTTCGTTTCGATGTTCGTTTGTTTTCGCACAGGCCTCAAATGAAACCTCATCCCTCGCCCTAGCCCTGGCCCAGCAGCCCTCGCCGCAGCCCTGGTTCGTTGTTCGTTTAGTTTTTGTTCGTTAGTTTTTCGCACAAGCCGCAAGCGGGACCTCGCCCCTCGCCCTAATCCTGGCTCTGTGGCCCCCGCCGCAGCCCTGGTTCGTTGTTTCGTTTCGTGTTCAGTGTGGCGTACGTCGTAGCTGTCGTCTGTCGTGTCTGTTGTCAGAGCTTCGCCCGTCGCGTTCGCCCTGGCCCCGAGCCTCATCCGATGCTGCCACGCCCCTGGCCATCGTTCCACGTGTTCGCTTAGTGTTTAGTTTCGTTTCCGACGTGGTCTTCGAAGTTTGTTTTTTGTATTTCGTGTTGTTGCCTCGCTGACGTAAGACCCTGTTTCGTGTGTCGCGTTCGTTTACACCCGTTTTTCGTTTCGGACGTTCGTTTCCCATGTTCGGATTCGTTTTGCTCATTGTTATCAACGCAAGCGCGCTATGATTAGCGTTGTGGTCGGTCCTTCAATATCGCTCGGCGGTTTCCCCCTCTTGGAATTCAGATTCTAGTTTGGGTGTTGCGGATAACGGGGGGGGGCATCCAGTAGCGCAGGGCAACATGATGCTTATGCTATTTTCTCATCTCGGCGGCGCGCCGAGGGGGGAAGTGAGAGGGGGCAGGCCTGCTCACAAGGCAGCGGGGGTTCTCAGAGCCCACCGGCCTTGGAGACGCCCTCTGCAGTTTCGGAGAAGGCCCATAGAGAGAGGCTCGTAGAGAAGGCCGGGGGCCGTCGGGGACTTTGAGGAGACCCGCCCCCTTTGCCTTCCCCTCTTGGCGCGCCGACTATCTTGTTCTAAGACCGCATCCTCCTCTAAGACCGCATCCTCCCGCCCCCCTTGCCTCCCCCTCCTCCTCCTCCTCCTCCTCCTCCTCCTCCTCCTCCTCCTCCTCCTCTTCATCCTTCTCATCTTCCTGCTCCGCCCTCCTCCTCCCCCTGCTCCGCCCTTCTCCTCCTCCTCCTCCTCCCTCCTCCTCCTCGCCCTCCTCCTCCTCCTGATCCTCCGCCCTCCTCCGCCGCCTCCTCCTCCTCCTCCTCCTCCTCCTCCTCCTCCTCCTCCTCCTCCTCCGGATCGAAGAACGTACCACACAGTTGCGGGAGCTCCTTTCCACGAAGGCCAAGGATCTTTTCTCCTCAGCGCTGGACGAGGCCAAACGCGTGGTCCAGGAGCATGAATCACAGAAGACACGGCTACTCGCCAAACGTCGGCGCGTGCAGGATGTTGAGGACATGGAACCCCAGTCCAAGCCTGGAGGTGCAGAGGGTTCCCAGCCAGAGACAGCTAGTGCTGGTGGTGATGGCGCAGAGACCACGTCCGAGCCCCAGGGCCAAGGCTCAGATGGACAGTTCTCCCGACCAGAGCAGCAGGCACAATTCGCCTCTGTCCGCGAGCGATTGGCCAAGTTCGAGCGCAGGGGGGGCCCCAACCATGAGGGCCCAGCAGCTACCTGATTGTGGGACATCTGTGTCAATTGGTGTGCTCAAGCTCATCTCGCGCACACCGCACTTCCAATGCTACCCAGGCACGGACATTCCCTTTGGATGTGCATATCATGTTTTAGCTCACGCATGTGCTCCCTCTGGTCGAGCTATGTGGTCTGACAAATTCTGCTACGAAGCGCTCGACACAATTCAGAAGGTTCGAGCTATGATGGACTGGGCCCCTCATTCGCTTTCTGACGTGGTGACGGGGACCCCTTCGACGTGTACACCGAGTTCTATGCCGTCCTGGACAGCGTTCAGCGCGGCTTCGGCGGGGGCGAGCCCGCCTGGCGCCACAGGCGCTACGGATACTCAGAAGAGCCGCGTCCTTCCTGGGACATCGCCTTCCACACGGTCAGTTACTGAGACGGCAGGAGGGCTTCAGGCGTCAGAGCGTAAATCCTGGGCTGCCCAGAGCAGTGCAGGTTCACAGTCGCACCTGTGCTTTCCACCCGCCAGGGCACCCTCTCCACAGGAGGCGGGGGTCTCAGCGCGAGTGGGTGGGGGCACAGGAGTTTGCTGGACTCGCCTACCTTGGGAGGCTGGCAACGTTGGATATGACGAGACGGCTGCCGAGTCACCACAGGCCATGGGCCTGCCGCCTGCTGACGAGACCAGAGCGATGGCAGTTCAAGACTATGCAGATATGCGAGCTGACCTCAGAGAATGGGCAGCGGCTTGGTTTGACATACATCTTGGGCTAAACGCAGGAAGCGGTGATTGGCGGCTTTGGTGCGAGGCGTTTCTGCACACGATACTTGAGCGACAAGGGAACGAGCCCTTGCGCCGTTTGTTGCAGGCTTGGTTTCCAGGCCGCACCTTGCAATCTGTCATGGAAGAACTATGTGAGTCGGCATGGAGGCAGTCTGAGCCCAGGCGTGTGGCCTTCCTTGAGCGGCTTCGCACGGCGCCCATTGAGGGGCGTGTACAGCTGCAGCGCCGCCACTGGGCGCACTTGGATGAGCTGAGAACCATGTTCAGGAGGCTTTTGGGCTCGACTTTCCCTACGGTGCGGCTTCCTCGCTCCAGACAGCCCGACTCAGAGGATGATCAGGCAGACGTTGACGCTTGCATTGCTCACCTGGTGATGTTGGCGGATGCGGAGACCAGTCTGGGACAGGCCAATCAAAGTACAGTTCCACACGCCATGGAACATAATTTTTCGGAGGCTCCAGACGTTTATCAGTGTGCTCCTCTGCCTGCGGACGGAGTTCGAGCTGCTCGGTGTGCTGACTTGGACGATCCAGACGCTGACCCCTTCGCCAACCTGGATGACCAGTTCGGGGACGAGGGGGAGCTTTGTACTGTGGAATCTAACATCGGATGCAGGCCTGACGCCATAGGCTCCAGCCCCACCCCGTCTCGGGATGTTTACCTTGGAGGCCCTGAGCCTGCGATCTTGGGTGTCTTGGGGAACTCCTCGTCGAGTCTGCCTATGCTGGATGCCGCTCGACCTCGGGACTGTAATGCGGAGTCAGAAACGCAGCAACGTGTCAGACAGACCCACGCTGGTGACAGCGCGCCCACACACGAAGGGCCAGCAGTTCTGCAGCACTGTACGTCCGACGAGCATGTGACGCTGCTCTTCGCGAACATCACCGAATGGGGCGCTAAGGTTCGCAGCTTTGTGAACAGTCACAAGCACACCTACGCCATCGTGGGGCTGGTCGAGACGCATGTCCCCGACACCAAGTGCGCCCACTGGACAGAGGAACTCAGGAAGGACGGGTGGAGGCTCTCGTTCAAGGCAGGCTTTGCTTCTGGGAGGTCGGACTCAGGCATCTCGGCAGGGGGGTGGCTCCTCACGCGCTGTCACTTGGCCGCTACACAGTTTGATCGACTGAGGGACCAGGCGATTGCCGACTCGCGCATGGATCCCTTTAAAGGCTTCTCGGCCACCACGCTACACCTCAAGTCGGGCAACCTCGTCTACATTGCAGCGTACTTGCTACCGTCACTGGGGATCGCTCAGTACAACAATGAGGTGTTGGTGGCATTGGGCGCATTTACCAGAGCTCTGGCAGATCCTTGGGTGATTGTGGCGGACTGGAACAACGAACCGCAGATTCTATTAGATAGTGGATGGGTTGACAGGCTCAGAGGTCGGCTAGCGCTTCCTAACTGCAAGTTCACGTGCGACAAGGGGCAGGGACGCATGTATGATTATGCCATTGTCTCTAAGCAGCTTACTTCGGACCGCATCAGGCTCAGGCAAGTTTTAGCTGTTCCTTGGAAGACTCATTGCGCTATTGCCATTGATGTGCTGGACGCCAAGCGTACTTGGTGGCATAGGTCGCTGGAACTGCCAGGGCCGCTACCCAGGGCCAACCGCCCTCAGCAAGAGCCAAACCCAGACAGCAAGCGATCCCAGAAGCGCAAGCAGGTGGCAGATGCACGCAGACAGGAACTCCCCGAAGAGCTGCGCGAGGCCTTCGACGACCTGCCATCTCAGGAGCCACAGCCAGAAGGCCCCAAGGTCGCGTTCAAGTTGGAGCAGGAAGCATGGCTCCAGATCTATGGCGAATTGGAGCAGGATACCTTCAGACCACGAACAGCGGCAGCACAGTTGTCGACAGGTCCCCTGTCGACCTGGAGGCCCACTCAACGCTCTACCTTGGATAATCGATATGGACGATGGGTCACTACCTTGGAGCGGTCTATTGTTGCGGTCAGCGATGTGGAAGACCCCGTTATGTTTTTCGGCAGAGGGCAAGGGTATTCAATTTCATGGAGGAAGATGCGCCCTGCCCCAGGTCGACCTCACATGTGCGACCCTGTAGCCGAATGGTGGGGGATCGCCTCCACGCTGCTTGCTCGAGGCGTGGCCTTGACACGCTCAGGCAGGGACCCTCCAGAGGCGGAGAAGTGCCTCGCGGGCTTTCGGTCCATGGTCCAGGGCCTGACAGACACCAAGCAGCAGGAATTCTTCGGGAAGAAGGCCTTGACCACCACAGTGAAAGAGTGGAGGGACGCCGCCCAGCAGGCGCCGCACCTCAGCCAGACTGAGTTGGAGCAGCTCCAGGTGCACACCAACACGTGGGTCGACCGCGCCCAGGGGCGCTCATTAGTCAAGTCTCGCCAAGCCTTCATGGACTGGGCGAAGCAGATGTGGGCCAAGAGGCCAGGTGCTATTCATCGTCATGTACGTGCTCCTCCCCCTGACCCACTTCCTCGTGAGATCATCAGAGATGGCGTGGACACCGCCGACCCTTGCGTACTCATTCGCACGAAGAAGGACTTTTGGCAGGCAGTGTGGCAGGAGGATAATGACAGCAGGGAGCACTTGCTATGGACGTTGGAGGGATTGGCCAGGGATGCTCGTGATGACCCCTTGCCACCACTGAATGAAGGACAGATTGAATCGATTCTTAGACGACAATCGCCAAACAAAGCTAGAGGAGTTGATGGCTTGGGCCCAGTTGACCTTCAACGAATGCCTCAAGCTGGACTGTCTGAGCTCACGTGTATCCTCAATCAAGCGGAGCTACTGCAAACTTGGCCGACAGCGTGGTTAGCTACTATTTGTGCAGTTATTCCGAAGCCAGCTGGGGGCACGAGAGTACTGGGCATGTTGCCGAAATGCTGCAAGACGTGGAGTCAGGCGCGCAGTTCGGTCACCTCCAGTTGGTCAGATGGACTTTCTGCTTTCTGGGACACGGCCATCAAGGGCAGCAGCGCCCTGAGAGCCGCGATGACGAGAAGCCTCATGGATGAGGCCTCTGCTACCACAGGCAAGGCAACGGCGACGGTCTTGCTGGACATTGCCAAGTTCTACGACTCCATCTCCTTCACCCTCCTGGTGGTGGCGGCGCGGGGGCTCAACTTCCCTCCCACGGTGCTGCTCATGGAGATCCTGCTCTTCATGGCGCCGCGCATCCTCAAGGAGGGCTCGGTCATCAGCGAACCGTTCTGCCCTGGCCGCTCGATTGTGGCTGGATCGTCGCATGGAGTCTGCCTTGGAAAAGTGTTCTTGCATTCTGTGCTGGAGGCTGCGCACATTCGAGCCCCTCAGGCCTCGTTATGGACCTTCGTCGATGACACTGTGGGAAGATCTGAGGGCACCCAGGCCACTGTTGTTTCTGAGATGGAAGGTTTAGCCGAAGCGTTCTCGGAGGGATTCAGACTCAAAAGGCTCACCGCCTCGGACAAAACGGTTGTCTTGGCGTCCTCTCCTGAGCTAGGTAAGCGCATTGCCAGAATTTTCAGAGCCCGAGGGATGCCCGCTAGGTTTGCTTCCGTTGGAGTTGATTTAGGTGTAGACACTGCGGCAGGACGTTTTCGGACACGGAAGAAGGCACGCCAGAGAATGACTAAAGCCAGCGGGCGTTTTTCTAGGATTGTGAAGATGCGCAGGCTGGCTGGTTTGAGGAAAGTCACCCAGGGCGCTTGGCGCACGGGAGCCTTACCACAGGCCAGCTTTGGCCATCAAGTTTATGGTATGCCACCGAGTCAGGTCATGCTTCTTAGGCGACAAGCTGCTCGCACGGTCTCGGGAATGGGCAAGGGCAAATGTTTAACAACTGTTCTGCAGACGGTGCTGGGGGATGGAGATCCCGCCCTGGAAGTGCGCCGCCAATTGGTGGACGCCTGGCTGCAGCTGTGGAAGCGCTTCCCCGCCCTCCAGCCTCGAATTCGACGGTCGTGGGGTATCGTTCGGTCGCAGCTCGATTCGCTTGGCGCCAAAAGGTGGAGAGGCATTCGGGGGCCCATAGCTGCAGTCCAGGCCACCCTTCTTGAAGCAGGATGGGAGCCCAGGGAACCTGACCTGTGGGAGCGACCAGATCACGCGGAGCATGCGTGGAGGTTCCCACGAATGGGCGACCCAGATTACGATTTACTCCCGATTTCTGACCATGCAGACTTGCTGCATGAGTTTGTTTCCGATTTGAAGGCTAAGTTGTGGCAAGGTGCTGCAGGGCACGAGGCAGGCGACAGTTTGAAAGAAGGAGCCGATCTCCTCCCCCTGCAGCAGGAACTCCGTCGCTTCGAGTCTCGGGGTCAGGCGGACCTGTGGGGCCTCACCATGTGCGTGGCCTCGGGGGGCCAATGGCCACGTCAGCGCCAAGCCGACAGTGGCTACACGGTAGACGTAACTTGTCCAAGGTGCAAGGCGGCCCCTGAGACCTTGTTTCACAGAATATGGCAGTGCGCGTGCAATGTAGATCACCAAGATTTCAGCAGCACGCAGTCACTGATTTCCCAAGCCACGGCGCAATGGGAAGCAGACCCTTCTTTATGGCTGAGAGGAGTCCCGTCGAGAGACCTCACCTGCCCCGTCTTCCTTGACCCTCTTGAGGCCCCTCCTCTTACGTACTACGGCTCCTCTCGCCTCAGCGAGTTTTGTGTTGCCCCTGGCCAGGGCCCTCCCCACATTTTTGGAGATGGGTCGGGGGGGAAATACAGCAGTGACCCGAGACGCAGGCGCTGTGGCTCTGGAGTTGCCCTCATTCGTCGGGCTGAGGATGGCTCCTGGGAGCCGGTCGCGGGTGTCTCTTCCCCCCTCCTGGGGCCGCGGCAGACCGTGTCGCGCGCGGAGATAGCTGCGTTTGCCATCGCTCTGGAAGAAACCACGGGACCCATCATTTATATCACTGATTGCCAGCCTGTCCTGGATGGTTGGAGAGCAGGTCGAGCCCACGGCAAGCTAGGCCCGAATCAGGACTTGTGGTACAGGGTGGCGGTGGCGTTGCGTAATCGGGGGGTGGCTGAAGTGCAGGTCGTGTGGACGGCTGCCCATCTAGAAGACACAGGCAAGGCTCTCAGTGCTTGGCAAGTTTTCCTCACTGCTGGCAACATGTGCGCTGATGACCTGGCGGGTAAAGCGGCTGACGAGGCCTTGCTCCTGTATACTCGCCAGCCTGCCCCCAGTACTGACATCTATGATTGCATCGCCCACCTTGTCAGACGCAGGGCCCGACGTGCGTTGCAGTGCTCACTCCAGGTTGACCCTTGGCAGGCCACAAGGCTCGCCAAAGTGCGGGTGCCCCCTCCCTCCAGGAAGGCTGCTGCCCTGAGGGACACCTCTCATGATTGTGAGCAGGTCGGGAACAGGTGGCGCTGCAGGGTTTGCAGTCAGATTGTGGCTTCCACCCAGCTCCTCAAGTTTTGTGCTCAGTCTTGTCCAGGCCTGGCCCCTGAGAGCCGAGGTCAGAAGTCGGAGTGGAGCCAATTTGTCTTGAGGACTGGAGAGATTTTGATTGGGGCCACCTCGGCCCACTCGTCCCACAACATCTTCTATTGGCCTGAGTTTTCCCTGCATTTTTGTGTTTGTTGTGGGCTGACCGCCACAGTGGATGGTAGGTGGCTCGCACGTCCTTGCCAGGAGCCCTCCCCCAAAGGAGCCCAGAACCTTGACAGGATTCGTCGAGGCATTTTTCCTTCGCACAGGGGACCCCCGAAGGCGGTGCAGCTGGCCAGAGTGCAGCGTGAAGCTTCGGACGCGGTCCAGCGTGCGAGGAAGGCTCGGGAGGAGAGTGGAATGCAGCAGCCCCTTTTCTGTGTGGGAGGAGAGGGTGGAGCGGCTCGCCGACCCACCAGGATCCCTCACCGTGAAGGCGGGGACTCATCGTCGGATTAGTCCCCGCCTAACCCGTTTAGTTTTGCGGACGCTCGTCCTTTCATGGTCACTTCTGGTCACTCCTCCTCCTCCTCCTCCTCCTCCTCCTCCTCCTCCTCCTCCTCCTCCTCCTCCTCCTCCTCCTCCTCCTCCCCCGCTCAGCAGGAGCTCGGGGAGGAGGTCGCGCACCACTTCGGGCTGCAGCGCTGCGGCGTGATGCACGGGGCGCGGAAGCAGGACGCCTCCCCTGCGGGCCCGGCCGTGCCCAGCGCCTCCCGGCCTTCCCCCCACGGGAGCGATCGAGCATCGGGGGCGTGCAAGAACGGGGGAGGACCAGGACCGACCACAGCGCCGTTTGGCCTGGTTTGGGCCCTTGTGGTGTGGTTCGTTTCGTTGTTCGTTGTTGTTTCGCGTCCCTCTTCACTGCTGTTTTGAACGCCCCTTGTCGTCGTTTGTTTGGGTTTGGCTCCAGCTCCGTTTTGAAAGTTCGTTTAAAACGTTGGGCATCGTCTCGTTGTCCGTTGTAAACGCGCCTTCGCTTCAAACATCGTTGTGGTCGGTTCCTGGGGGAGGAGGGGGGACTTGGATACAATCGCCAGGGCCATGCAATCTCCCGCATATTTCGTGGCCCCCTCGTTTGATGTGAATACGTACCCTGCCCCACCCCATCGTCCGCGCGCCCTGCCTCGGGCCATGGGGCGCTAGCGCACCTCTTCCTGGCCGGCCCTCTTCGGCGAGCCGATGCCTCCACTCGCTGCGATCGAAGCGGGTACGGTAAGTGAGATTGGGACGCAGACCGGCAGAAGTTCCTGGTCATGTTGGACAGGGCCCGCTGTCGATGGCGCCGTGGACGCTGTCCATGTGAGACAGCACGTCGCGTGCCCAGCCGCGGCCGCTTTCGCGTTGCGATGTCTGGGGCCGTAAGAGTGTCCCAGGTTTCATGTTCCTCCCCTCCTGTTGCAGTGCGTCTCCTGGCCCCCACTTCGTCCGCGCAGATCCCTCGGGCCATGATGCGCGACACCCCCTGTTGTTGGCCCCCTGCTCGGCGCACCCGAAGCCTCCCCCGGTTGCTCTTTGGTATCGTATCATGGTTTCCGTGTCCGACTCGACCGTGCCAGCCCCCGAGTTCCCCTCGTTTTTTGGGGTCCCCCATGTTCCTTCCATCTGCTCTCGTTCCTCTCCACTCTCGCTTAGGTTGCATTTCCTGGAAGGTTGACTTCAGCATCCGCATCGGTATATCTTTCGGTCAAATTCTGGTTGAATTTGGCTCAGTCTGGTTTAATCGGGGTTCATCTTGGGCCTAATCCGATTTTCACAGCCCACCAAACCACCCCAACCCAACCCGAAGGCCCCGATTTGACCTCCATTTCCAGTGGAGGGGGGGTCGGGGAACATAGAAACAACACGTATGAAGCCCGTACCCCCCCAACCCGAAATTTGGGTCTTCGGGTTGGGTCTGGGTGGTCTGGTAGGTAGTCAGACTTGAATTTGCTTCATAGCCGCTTCATCGGGCTTGACTGGCCGTGATCTTCTCAGAACGGAAGCATCAAATGAATCGCCTCTTGGCCTCCCCACCCCCCTCCTTCCACCCCTTCCTCTCGAATCGCCTTCACCTCACCCCCTTGCCTGCTCCGCCTCAACCCCCTTCTCGAACTCTGAGGCCCGCCCGCATCCTTCTCCCTCCTCCTTCTTCGCCTCCCGCCATCCGACGTTCCTCGTTTTGCTCCGTCTTACCTCGCTTCTGCTGTTCCCCGTCGGCTCGCCTCGGCGAATAGGGAGAGATCGCCATCCAGGCATCCATCCTTGTCCCGCTTCTAGGTTTCTGTGTGGCTCCCGCGTCTGGCTCCCTGTTCTCGCCCATTACATGCCCTGCGTCTTGATCCCTGCTTCTATATTCACCCGCTGTGTGCGCTTCGATGGGGGAGGGGAGTGAGAGACAGGCACGCGTCCCCACTGCTCCTCACTCTTGATATGTCCCCAAGAAGGTTCCGACCTCCAGGACGCAGCCCGGCGGCAATGCCGGCCGTCCTGCATGCATCGCCTCTTGATTCATTCCCACCCTGGCCCGCCCCGAGGAAAATATCGACCTCCCAGGCACAGTCCGGCGGCAATGCCAGCGGTCCTGCGTACATATCCATGCACACGCGTTGTACGTACTTGCGCACACGCTTCCTGAGGGGCAGACTATCGATCAGCCGCCCGACGCGGTTGCACTTGAGACGGAGATGTTTCCCCACCTCCTTCCCTCCGCGCGGTGGTGGGAATATCTTTCTCCAATATCCTGGGACATAGCAGAAATGCGAGGGCCTGCAGGTAACCCCATCCCCCACCGTGTCCGAGTGGGCCGTCCCCAGCCCTGCACTTGGCGCTGGCTGTGTGGGGGTGTCCTTCCCTTTTCGTCGCCATCCTCACGCATCCTGTCTCTCCCTCCACCCCTGCGCCCGCATCCTTGCCGTCTGCGTCCACCTCGCGCCGCCATCACCCGCGGCCCACGCAGCCGCCCTGCTACAACGGGAGTGCCTCCCGTGCTGTCACTATCCCGGTGCCCCGACCGCTTGCAGGCACACCGCCCACTCCTGCAATTACTCGTTGGGGTTCTCCGTCATCTTCAGTGCTCGTGGGGCGCATTCGGAGTCGGGGAATCCTTGGAGGCTCAAGGAGGATGGCAAGCGCGCTTCCACCCCGAAGGGGGCCATGTTCTTGTGGGGCAGGTTTGCGAGAGGACAACATCCCGAGTTCAAGAGAGGGCCCGTCAAGTGCGTAGATGCACCCATTTGCTTGGCCACGTTGTTGCAATCGTAGTTTTCGCACTCTCGTTCCCTACCCGCCTCCTGTTTGGAAACCCGGGTGCCATGCAAGCGAAAACGCGCGCGCGTCACCGTCCCCGTGCCTCCTGGTCATTCTCTAGCGCCATCCGCGCGTATCATGCCCCCCCCCCTCGTCCCCCGCATCCTTGTCACCCGTCCATCCTGCGTCGTTTGCAACTCATGCCCTCGCCCCCCACCCCTCGCGATCCCAATTGTTCGCCCTGTGCTTGTTCAGATTCACATCGGAGGGGGATGCGCCATCAGTTCCAAGCACCCCCCGTGGATATGTATCCCTACGCCCAGGTTTGAGGCGCACGGGTTGGGCGCCGAACACTGCGCGGTGGGATTCGGCACCCTGTGTTGGTGGTTGCCCTTCAAAGCCCACCCGCTTGGGGTTTTTCACTCCGAAAGGAAGAGTATCGTATGATCATATTCTTTCTATGCCTTCACCCCTTCCTCGTCCTCCACGTCGCCCCCCTTATCACCCACCACCCACCCTTAGCACAACTCCGAACCGACGCCCTCCTACTTCTGTTCCTGCTCTTCACCTGGCCGCTCCCACTCTCGCGGCTGTCCTCCCTGCTCCCGCCTTCCTTCGAACAGCAGAACACGACATAGTTGCAAACATTTCGGCCCACGAGGGTTTCTTCGGTCGGCGCTGGACTCCCTCTTTGGCGCGCGCGGCCCGCCCCAGGGGCGGCGCCAAAGCCGGTGCCAAGGGCGTTCAGCGCCGATCTAAGATAACCGTGCGCACTTCCGAAAGTTAATGGTGCGTTGCCCTATCGTCGTTACGTTTCCTCTCTGTTTTCCTCCTTTGAAGACCCATGCCGAATTTATCTCTATCGAATTTGATGTGCCTTGCGTCCAGTTCCCCCCGATTCAATTTTCATGTTCCGCCCCTTGGTACGGCCAGATGCTCGCACGGCGTAACGTGTGTGCTTTGGCGTTGACGTTTCGATTCGGTTTTGATCCCCTGCCGATGCGGTGATGCACGTTCGATCCGATTCGAATGCCCAGCTCGCTGCTGATATCTCCTGCCTTGGCCAGGGCCGCGGACGACCTGTATGCACCGCGCCGCGGTGGCAGGCGTCGTTGGCACGGTGCATAGTTCTTTTAGTTCCAAAGGGCGAAACATGATGGTCCGTACCTCGTTGGAGCGAGGCCTGGGAGAAGCCCTCAAATGGACGGCGCTTGAGCGCCATTCTCTCGCACCAGGGCCAGGCTTCCTCGTCGGTTTTCCTTGCAGGTCGTCGCGCGCACACCCAAGCCACCGCGCGCGATGTTCTTTCTGCGTGCACTGGCGCGCATGTCGCAACGCGCGAGCACCCCTTCGATGGGTGGCAACGTCCACCCGCTTCGAGCAGGCCAAGATCTGGGGCTTATGCCAAATACGTAGTTTCACGTTGTGTCGGCTCGCCGTGACCCCTCCTCGAGCGTTCAAGGTTGAGCGCCGCCAGTGGCCCAGAATCAGCCAACGTGTAAGAATCTTGCGATCGGAACGCTGCCAATCTTTCGAGGTTGAACGATCCACGTGGTGTCGTGAACCAACGCGCTGGTCGTCACGACACGAAGCCGCCGTGCCGCTCTCACCCTCTAGCCACGGCCGTCTATAGACACATTGGGTGTCGTCGCGTATATCGGCACGATCGGGGTGGATACGTCAATAGGCGGCGCGGTCGGAGCGTTCGGCGCAGTACAAGGTTGGAGAAGGGGTAGATCCGTCTACGGTATGTTCAGTTCCTGCTCTAAATCAGGTTTTACATGGTACTCCAACGCTCGCGCTCGTAGCGTCGGTGCATCCTCCTCAGGCTGGTTGCACCCGTGCTCCCCCGCCTACTAGAGTGTGGCCCCTTGCCACGGCTCGCGCTGGTGCACTTTGCGTTTGGCGGAGACTCATGGGCTGCAGCATACAATTATGTGTAAGAATGGCCGCCAGCTATGAGTTGACGCTGCCCTTGGGCATCGGGAGTGTTGGGCTCAAGCACGGTTACTGTCGTGTGGGGCCCGTGGCATCAGTTAGAGCGGAGCCATTTTCTTTTAGCCGGATTGTTTGAGTTCGATAGCCACTTAGTGGATTAGATAATTGTTTGCGGCAAGGCCCGCCACCGTCCAAGACCAGCATTAGGGATGCCGATTGTTCGAGGGGGCACGGGAGGCCGTAGCGCGTGGCACATTGTCTATGCAGGCGTGGGGGAGCCGCGAAATTTGACAAGCTCATCCGCTCCTGTGCTCCTGCGGGGCAGTGTTGGGGGTCCCGTGGACAATTGTGGGCCGTCTTGGAACTTCCTTGGGCACCTCGTGGCCGTCTGGAGGGTCCATGTTGGGCGAGGGACTCTCTGAGGCCGTATTGGTCACCCCTGGAAGCCCCTTCGGGCCAGTTAAGTGTTCTCTTGTGTTCTGCCTAGGCCGTTTAGGGGCGCCATTGGATTGTTTTGTTGCCACCTTGGAGGATTATCGGGCAAGTGTGGTGCTGTCTTGGGGCCATCTTGGAGGCATCTAGGGCCGTCTGGAGCGCGGATCCATAGATAGTTTGTCTCAACCACCGTGTGGTGTTGGGTCCTCGTTTTGAAGCGACAGCGCCCCGCGTCTCACTCCCACCTCCCGCTGCTGCCTCCCTCCTCCCGCTCCTCTCCCCCCTCCTATCCGCATGCCCATGTCGGCACGCCGCTCACACGTTTCGGTGCCCCACTGGGAGCTCAACCGAAGGGCCCTACTGGCGGGGTTTGCGTGGCGCCGCCCCGTCCAGTTCAGCACACCTCTCATACGTTCCGTGGCCCCACAGGGAGCTCCACCTAGGGGCCCAGCGTTGTGGAAGACGATCAAGGGAGAGGAGATATGTTTCCAACTCGGTTCCATATGTCTAGAACATGTTTGCAATATGTTTCCAAAGTGTTAGCACATGATTTAAACATGTTTCGGACATGTTTAAAACATGACGACATTTAGAAGACATGATTAATTCAATGATAGAACGGTTAGAGTGCCCATTGTCATGACATCCACAACCCCAGTGGATGGATTCGCAGCCCTTCTCCACACCACTTCGGCACACTCCTCACACGTTTCGTGGGCCCCAAAGGGAGCTCCCCCTTTTGCGTCTCAGCTGCCTTCCAGCACTCACACTTGCACCTGGATGGGTCCTCCGCTAGGATCGGAGTCGAGGGGTTGGGATCGCAGTGAACGGAGAGCCCCCCACCGGGAAGTCGGTTTCGGTTTCGTGTTCGTGTCGTGCGTGCGGGCGAAGCGAAGCTGCGTGGGCGGGCGAGGGCAAAGATCCCTCATTTGGCTAGGGCGTCGCCGAGCCAAAGGACCCCCCAGGTTGTCCAGCGGTCGCTTGGTGTGCCCCGCGGGTGTCCCGCCAGTGTCCCGTGGGCGTCATGTAGTGAGATCGATAGTGAGATCGATAGTGAGACCGATCGTGAGATCGATAGTGCGAGAATCCGGCAATGTGGGGCCCTGGGCCCTAAATCATCAATCCTGAGAACAGGGGGCTCAAGGGACTTGAGGACACTCCAACTCGTCAAACACGTCACCGGGTGGGTGCAAAGTCTGAGGTGGTTGTGCTGCGTTTTCGACTGTGTATGGTGCATGGTTGCAGCAGCACGCTCCCCCGTCGAGGCGTTCTCAAGCTTTACAGCTTTGGGCTACTGTTACGAGGCCAGATTGCCTTTCTGCTGGTATGTATCGAAGAAGGAAAAATACCATAAACACCAACTTTTGGCGCTCCGCGCGGATTTCTTGGATCCGCGCTGGGCCCCCCAGCGGCGCCCCCAGCGCCGCCCCTGGCGCGCTCCGCGCGCCAGCCAGGTAGGGGGGTTCGGCGCGGTTCCAAGGTATCCGCGCGGAGCGCCAAAAGTTTATCATGTTTACGGTGTTGTTTGTTCTTGATCTGTTTCTTTAGGCTCAGGGGTCGCGCCAGGCCCAAGCCCACCGCTCGTCTACTGCAGCTCAGCGTTGCGTCGACCCTGTCTCGGGCGGTCAAGGCTGAGCCCCGCTGGCGGCCGAGACTCGGCCAGCATTGGACGAGTTGCGATATCAGAAAGGCGCGATCGATCAAGGATTAAGTCGGGCATGTCCCTCTACAGGAGGAGCATTCAAACATAGTTTAAAAAATAGTCTGGCGCTGATTTTCTATTTTTTGACAACTGTTGAATATGTTTCGACAACTGTTCATTTTGCTTCCAAAATCTGCCTGGAGGGGGACATGCCCAAGCTAAATCAATGATCAAATATCAGCGCGGCGTCAGAAGCCAACGCCAGAGTCGACACGGCACGAACAATCCGTAGACGCGCACCCCTTGCTGCCGCCTGGGTGATGGCAGCGCGCGGCTACAGAGCAGTGGCGGACGGGCGCGTGGTTGCCCTCCAAGAGCACGAGGTTGCCACGAAGCCGGTCGCCTGCGGGATCACATCGTTCAGTGAGCTTTGGAGCAGCATTGGGGCCTGCTGGGATTCCGCTGACATCGCAGGATCCGTGTTCTTCGATTACTATCCAGCCGCCTGCGGCAAACCCCACACCGTGGCAGCGCAGCAGCGCAGCAGCGCAGCATTGGGCCACGGCCGGAAGAGGCTGTGGACATCTTCGGCCGGGCCGGCCCCTCGGTTTGCTGCATCCGGGAAGACCTGGGCCTCGCCCGCCCTCGGAGGCCCCGGCCGTCCGGTCGTGCCCCCAGCCTCGCGGGAGAACTCCGACGGGAGCACTTGGTCGTCGTCGTCGTCGTAGTCGGTGGCTTTGGACATCTTCGAGGGGCCCTCGTCGCCACGACTGCAGAGACTGCAAGACGCGTCTCGTGAGCTGTTGTCCAACAGTTTCCTCACGAGATGCGTCTGTCCGGCGGGGCAGTGCTCAGCCGCCTCAGTGTTGGAAGTTTCTTGGCGCGCTTCACTGCGCGCGCTGTCAGGTGCCCAGAACAGCGCGACAACGGCGCCAGAGGTACACGACACATACACCAATAGTGCTGACAAAGTACACCGGAGATGCATCGGACATGCATCTGAACTGAACGGAACATGCTCACCGACACTGCACAGAAAGACTACCGAGATTACACCGAAAATGCCCGAGGCCGCCCCTGGTGCATTTTGGGGTTTCCTCGAGATCCCCTCCGGTCCTGGGAATGCCGGGAGCCGCGTGGGAATAAAGGTGTAAGGTATCAACGCTGTTTTGGGGTTTCTATTGGAATGGAAATCATCCCGGGGAGTGCAGTTGAGGCCACGAACGCAAGATGCACCGATGCACCGAAAGTGTTGGGCATATACACCGATGTGCGCCGAACAAACATGCTAATATCGCCAAACATACCTTCAAAATACCCCAGACCATACACAAACAATGCGCAGACAATGCACCAGGAAGGCATTGATTGATGGCCGAGTGCCGTGTATATTGACAGAACTCCCCGTGCCGCCTCGTGGACAATCAGTGGCGGCGCACGATGGGCGCGTGGGCCTTGTGCCAAGCGGTGACCAAATGTGTCTGCACTGTTGGTAGGTGGATCTGTCAAGCTCTCCGCCGCCTCTGGCGGTGTGCGTGGCGAGCAGGAACGCAGCAAATCCACAGGAGAGCTTGAGAGATCCACCTACCAAACAAAAAATTGTGACCAAATGTGTCTGGGTTTGAAACGAATTCATATCTGTAAGCATTCTGCGCAGGCGAATGAAGCCCTCCCGCGGGTGCGGCGGGCGATGCCCGCTCGCATTGGAACTTAGAGAAGGCCTCGCTAGATTACCGTTGGCTGCCTCCTGCAATTTCGACAAACACGAAGGAGGCTGAGTTCGAGACCCACGCCAGTCCAGCGCGCGGTCTGAACTTGCGTGGCTCGTAAGCTCGACCTCGTTCTCATCCTGCGACGAGGACGAGGCCCAGGAGCGATGGATGGATGAGGATCGGAGAAATAGCGAGGTAGGGCAGGCGAGGACGTGGAGTTGAAGCACCGCGCAAGTTCAGAATGGGCACTCAACTGGCGCGGGTCTGAGATATTATATCAGTCGTCTCGCCCTGCCCGGGTAGTTAGCTTCCCTTTTCCGCCAGGAAGCAAAACGATGTTGATGATGATTACCTTGCCGAAGGACCCAACCATATGCAGCTGCGGGTATCGTGAGGCAGTTGAAAAGCAGGACGGAAGCCCTGCAGAAGGACGGGGGCGCGGAAGAAGCAGGAGACGGAGGAGGACCAGTGTGAACCCACGACTCATCGAAAATGTTGGAATAGCTCCTTGTTCATATGCCCCAAAAAGTGTCATTCCCATTGAGGGAATTGCCCAGTTGAGGGACAAACGTGTGAAAATCCTGAAGCGTGCCAGAACAAGACTCCAACGCCACGGGTCAAACTGACTGCGCGTCTTGACGATCCCGAATCGTGCCAGAACACCATTCCTGGGACGTCAACACAGCGAATCAACGTAACTGCTGCCACCTGACAACCCTGAATCGCTCCAGAGCACCATTTCTGGTACGTTGACCAAAACGAGTGCGCGCGGCGCTAAAGGCGAGAGCCACATCAGAAAACGTCCCGCCTTCAATCCGAGAAGCTCTTGCAAATGTTCGAAAACAAACGCGCGCGGCGGTACGGCGAGGGACACATAGTGAAAACGACGCCCTCAATCCGCCAAACGCCTTGCAGGTTTCAAACGAATGCGCGCGGCGCTCAGGCGAGAGCCACATTTTGACAACCACGCCCTCAATCCGCGAAACCCTTTGCAATTGTTTGTACACGAATGCGCGCGACGCTAAGGCGAGAGCCACATTTTGAAAACGACCTGCCCTCGACCCGTGAAACGCTTGCTTTTTTGTTGAATAAGTGTGCGCGGCGCCAAGGCGGGAGCCAAATTTTGAAAACGACCCGCCCGCCATCCGTTAATCTCTTGCAACTGCTTAGAACGAGAGTGTGCGCGGCGCTCAGGCGAGAGCCACACTGTGGAAGCGGCCCGCCCTCCATCTGTGAACTTGCTGCCAGTTTTCAAGCTTCAGGCAGGCCACCGACATCCTGGAGCCCGCCCTAGAGCCTTTCTGGGCCGTGTTGCAGGGTTGTCGAGCACTCTTGGGGTTATCCAGGAGCTCTGTCGGGGTGATGCTGGGTCGTCTCGGGAGCTAGTTGGGGTTCTTTGTGTAAATCCTTCCCAGGGCAACCTGAGGCCGAAAGACTTTGAGAGCAAGCAAACAAATCATTTGGTGCGTCTGCGTTGTTCTTCTCTGAGCATCTCGCTAGATGCCTCTTCGAGCGTCTCTCGGAGGCTCCTTGGGGCATCTTCACAGGATCTTGTAGCCTGTGGAGGGTCGTTGGGCCGTCTTAGGACGGTCTTGAGGCGCCTTGCAGCTATTTTGGAGCCGTCTTAGGCTCCAGCGGAGTCGCTTGGATGATGAACATGGAGCCGGGAAGCGAAACCAGGGCGGGCGTTGTTTGACAATATGGTCTAGTAGGATGGGACGGGATGTCGACTTTACAGTTGCCAGGTCGAATAAGAAGCACGCTTGCTTGCAGGTGCCCCACATATGTTTGGTATCTTGTGGCAGCCCTTGGGGCCAACAGGAGCCCTGACCAGCCTCGGCGGCAAATGTATTTCTGCATTCTTTATGGCCATCGTGTGCATCAGCCTTGCTGTATCATCAGCCCTGCGGCCAGCCCCCCGCCGCCGTCGCCGCTGGCTCACTGGCGCTGGCCCTGCCAGACCCCTGGGCTGCTCTGAGCGGGCCCGGCTCCTCCTAGTCTCTCGCCTGGGCCGGTGCCTTATCGTTCTCTTTCTTCTTTCTGCATGGTGGCTGAATTCGCCTAACACACCCCGTTTTGCTTCACTCGCCAGCGCAGTCCCTCTGCTTAGCCGCCGACGCAAAACGTTGTATCGTATGCATCTGGTGTATTGCAATCGGAGGGGGTTACACCAGATAACAGGCGAGCATCCTCTCACACGCTCCAGCGTGCCGAAGGCACGGTGGCGGGCTTGCAGGACTTAGACGCAGCCGTGGAGAGGCATCTGACTGGTTTCGACGGCGACAAGGGTGGGACCCAGAGCGCGGCTGTGGAGCCAGAGTTGGTCGGGCGCGCATTGCAGGAATCGCATTCACCGAGGAGTGATTCAGGTTATTCTGGATCGTCTTCCGAACAAAGTGTGGATATCCCATTTTGAGCGCATGTAGAATTTACCGCACAACGCTTGCTCCCCAACGCGCTGCCACTTGTCGCACGCTATCCAGGGAGGGTTTCCAAAGTTCTGCCAGAGTCGGCAGGCAGAGGCAGTGTTCTGGGGACGTGTTGAGGTGGCCGATCAGTGGGGTCAGGTGTGAACTTATCTTGGCGACGAAACCAAGCATATGCAGTTTTGAGTAACGCGACTGTGGGTATTCTCTTCAGTGGAGCTCCCTATGGGACCACGAAGCGTGCGAGGGGTGTACCGAAGTTTGTGCTGTCCCTTCATGCGAACGCAGCCTTTGGGGCCCTAAGTGGAGCTCAGTACGGGGCCGCGAAGTGTGAGGGGTGTACCGACGTGTGCGGTGCCGCCGTGCGAACGCAGCCATCAGGGTTGATCGTGGAGTTCCCAATAGGGCCACGCAACATGTCATGGGTGTGCACAAAGAAAAACGGCGCCGCCATGCGAACGCAGCCGTTGGGTTTCTCGGTGGGCCTCCCCATGAGGCCACGGAGCGTTTGAGGGGTGCGTCGGCATGGGTGCGGTACCGCCGTGCGAACGCAGCCACTGGGGCTCCTGGTTAAAAAAGGCCACGAAGCGTGTGAGAGGTGCGTCGAAATGGTCTCGGTGTCGCTGCGCGAACGTAGCCACAGGGGCCTTCGACACAGCTTGTCTGTGGGGCCACAGAACGTGCGAGTGATGTGTGCCGAAGAGCTTGCGGCGCCGCCATGCGAACGCAGCCTCTGGGACCTTCGCTGGAGCTCCCCATGGGGGCCACGCACCGTGTGACGGGTGCGTCGAAAAGTGTGCGGTGCCTGAAAGCGAATGCAGCCATGTGGGTTGTCGGCGGAGCTCCCTCTGGGGCCACCAAGCGTGTGAGGGATGTGCTGAAACGGCGCAGTGATGCCATGCGAACGCCGCCGCTGGCACCCGCGGTGGAGCCCCCGTTGTGGGGTCACGAAGCGTCTGATGGGTGTGTCGAAATGGATGCGGCGCCGACGTGCGTATTCAGCCTTACGGGCTTTCCGTGGAACTCCCTTTGGGTTGCCCTTCGTACGAGGGGTGTGCGCAAATGAGACGGCGCCGCCATGCGAACGAGGCCATTGGGGTTCCCGGTGGAGCTCCTTATGTGGTCATGACCAAGTGTGAGGGGCGTGTTGGAAAGGATTTGCGAAGGGCCGATGCAGAGATGGGAGGAGGGAGCATGGTGAGGAGGGAGAGGAGGAGGAGGAGGAGGAGAAAGACGAGGAGGAGGAATGACGCGGGGCGCTGTCTGTTCACCGCGAGGGCCCAGCACCGCAGGATGATTGGGAAACAGTTTGGTCAACGAGAGTTGTGCAGACTTCCTGGCCGAATTCGGTCGCATTTCTTGCAAGGGGTCAGCCACACGAGCTCCCGCTTCCTGGCCGCGCGACGTATCTATAGCGGGTTTGTGCCAATTGTTTTTTCTCCTCATCCCCACCGTTGTTGACTGTGAGCTTTACCAGGGCCCATACGCTGGCAGATGTTCAGCTCAGAGCCACGCCAGTGGAGTTTACGAGCTCTCTTTGCCACCAAGTGTTTGTGTGTGTTTATTGAGCCTCCGACCTCTTGTGCTGAATCGATCCAGCATCTCAGAGGCTGGGGATCAACACCGGGCCTGGCAGCCTGCACGCGAGGGTAGCGCGAGTTTTTTTTGTTCGTTGTCAACGCTGGCCAGATTCTAAGAGGGAAGGTGTTTTCCTAGAAGCCCGTCTTGCTTCTAAGTAGCCGGTCTTAGAAGCCTCCATGCCATTCTAAGAGGGCCCTTGCTTTCTTAGAAGCCCCCGACCTCGCTAGAAAGTGGCCTCCTCGCGATACCCCCATGTGCGCATCTCCAATTTACTGCGCTGCTGCACGGGCAATTAAAGCCCAAGTGCGCGTCGCCCATTGCGGTTGGACATCGACGCTGAGCAGGTATGTTCGCGGTGGAAACAGCTCTCAAGACAGCGCTGCATTACGTACCATGGCTCTGACTGATGCAGGTCGCCCTAACGTCTAAGTCATGTCCAATGTGTTTGCAGGAATGGAGGGGCTTCCACGGGCACATGCGCATGAGTCCTTATGGCATTCTGGATTGGCAATCGATGTGTCAGCTTTCAGCTCTGGGCCCTCTGCTGCCAGGAGCAGCGAGAGTCCACCCTGGCCGCGTTCCGCAACGGCCACATCAGCGCGCTCGTGGCGACAGACGTACTGGGCAGAGGCGTGTGTCTTCTCTTGGGGGCACGAGGAGGTCCGGGCATCATCTGCAGGACCCAGCCCGCAGATCAGTGTATGGAGGATCGGCACGGTCACGAGGACCGACATCAGTTCCTGACCATCTTGAACAGGACTCGTTGTCGGTGTCGCCGCGGACGCTGCCCGTTTGAGGCAGAGAGTCGCCTGCACAAGAGCGGCCGCTGTGGGTTGTGGATTGCATTCGCTGTTGGGCATCGTGCCATTTTTCCGTGTATACCCACTTCGGGTGTCCAAGACAAGGCGACGCAATTTCAAGGAATGATCATCGCGATTCCACTGGTGGTCTCACGGTTTTCTGGTGGAGCCGCTTGCAGACCACGTTGTAGAATTTCCGCCCCCTTGTATCACCCCCCCCCCCTCTTCCCAATGCTGATGCACGCGTTCACCTAGTCATGGGTTTCCGTGTGCGCGTTTGCCCCCACACATGTAAGGCACCATGCATTCACGATGTTGGTCAAGCTGGCCGTTGCCGTACTTGCGCCTGGTATGACGGTTGGTAAGGCGTTTGGTGGATAAAGTCGGCAGTGGAGACGGATATGAATATGAGGAAGAGCAAGTGTCCATTGCGAGTCTAGCGTTGTTTTCTTGAAGCCTAGAGCGGGGACAGATAGCGGCATTTTGATTTCAAAGTTTCTTGTTTGTGGGATTTGGAGGCCCGGAGCGTTGAGCTCAAAAGAAGATTGGATGCGTGGGAGGGCAGGGGTGACGACATGGAGAGAGTGCGAGGATCTTCCCCGAGCCTTCCCCCGAGGCCCCCTCGCAGAGTCTCGCAGAGGAGAAGGAGGAGGAAGAGGACGAGGGGAAGGAGTCGGTTCCATACGGTCAGCCCGACATCCACTGACAAGCTTGGCGAGGGGCGTGTCCTCCAGACCAGTTCTGAACGCCTCTCGACGTTTGCTCAAAGCACACTTTCAGGCATCGTCGTTCGGAGTCGTGGTCGTGGTGTCCCCCGTCGTAGTTTTTGAGGTCGTCCGTTGTTGTTCGAAATCGTCGTCGCCGTCGTTCGAGGGAGGGTTGGGCTTCGATCCCGACTGCTCGAACTCCAGTGCTCGTTCCTCTGCACAGCGTGAGTTGAGATGTAAGATTCTCCATGACCAGTCAAGAGGGGGCACAGCGATCACAAGAAGATTCTGGATCTTTTTGCCTGGCGGCTACTCGCGGGCAGTGTGCGCAGTGGGTTTCTCAAGCCGGGGTGGGAATCGTGTCCGTGGCCCAGGATTCGTTGCGGCCCCAGTGTGTTTGTGAGGAGGGGAGCGGGGGCTCAGCAGTCGACTTCAGATTCTGCGCTCCCAGTGGTTGCCCTGTTACTCGTGGTATTGGCTGTGCGCGACGGGATTCGCGGGAGGGGCGGGGGCGCCAACGGCCTCTCCCAGCCAGTGACAAGTTGTTGCAAGTGGGCATGATATTCACGGTGTCGATCACGCGGGAAGGATGGCACAAAGAGTATGTCAGGGCCGGTGCGCCGTAGTTGCGCGCTGGGCTTCGAAAGCGGAGGTGCATCCTTCCGAAGAGCGTCTCGCTACAGTGCTTCTCCAACGAGGGGGCCAGGTGTCGCCCACACAGAGTCGCTGCCCTTGGGGGCCGCCTGCTGCCATCGCAAGGTCTGGCGTGGGGCTGGCGCCGCAGGTTCTCTTACCTACCCTCGAGTCGTTGACAAGACAACAAGCATGTAGGGTTCAGGAGGCGGTCCGGTTTTCAGGCCGCTCCGTGGATCCCTTCCCTCTTTCCTTCCTTGTACACGTTCCCGTTTTCCGATTCTGTTTACGCGAAGGCTTACCACCAGAGACTCGCACGGCGTTTCTGCTCGGCGCTTGCTTCGCCGAGGAAGGCTCTGGGGTCCGCTCGAGAGGCCCTGGAAGGGTCCTGCAGGGAGTGCGCCCCCAGGTGTGGACATTCCAGGCGTGACGCACGTGATCATCTTCGATTTCCCCGACGACATCGAGGCGGGCGGGAGGGGGAATACCAAGAATGGGAAGAGCACTGTTCGGTGGCAAATCATGGGAACCTAGCATGTCCTCCAAAGTCCACCTCTAGAGTGCGTTAGCGTGCGCTATCGTCTGGCAATCGATGAGAAAGCGATGATTCAGCGTTGACTGACGTCAATCCTTGAGTCGCGTCGACTAGCGTCGATTTAGCGTCGGCCAGCGTCGATTCGCAAGAGTCAGCAAGACGACAAGGCCGGCTCCCAGGTGTTGCCACTGAGCATTGCACCCCTCCTGTCGACAAGTGGCTCTTCTTCGTTCCCGCGCGTGCGTCGGCCAGGTGGGAGGCCGCCTCGCGCCGTGCGAGGGGTCTGGGCTAGAGGTGCTGGACGCGCGCACATCTCCTCCGCCATCCTTCGTCTTTCATGCTCTCTCCAGGTTCCCCTCCCTCCCCCTCCTTTGTTCCCGATCGCAAGTCATGGGAGCCTTGTGCTTCCTCGTACCTCCGTCTTCAGAGTGCACTCGTGTTCGCCAGCGTATGGTAATCGATGGGAACGGGCCGACTTGTTGTCGATTCACGCCGATTTAGCATCAACTTAGCGTCGACTATTGATTGTCTTATAGCGTCGATTCGCAAGGGCCAGCAATATGGCACAGGACGGGGCATGCACAATGTCTCCGTTCTGCCGGGCTGCGTCGCGAGGGGTCCCTGGCGAGGGGCCCTGGCAGGGGCCGCTTCGACCCAACCGATCTGATTCGATATCGATCTCTCGGCCGCTCCGACCCTACTCCGATGTTCCGACGATGGTTGCCCGGTGCTTGCACGGCGCTGTTGTGCATCCCGACGAAGCCAGGGCTCGATTTGAACTCCGTGTTCGTGCGGCCCGATTCGACGCACGCTCCGATCTGGCCCAGCGTGCCGATTTTGTGGGCAGAGACCCCCAAGACAGCACAAGAGCGCTCCAAGAGTGACCGACGTGACCTCAAGACGGCCCAAGAGGCCTCCAGGACGGCATCAAAGAGGCCTCCAAGAGAAGTCCCAAGAATGCCCCAAGAGGCAAAAATCATTGATTTTCTATTGGTTTTTGGTGAATTGTGGGGTTCTCCTCTTTTCGGCTTCCCGACGCTCCAAGACGGCGGTCTTTGGGCGTCCGAAGCCGCCTGGGAGGCTCCCAAATCGCCCCACAACCATCCGAAAGGGCTTCCAGGCAGTCCAAGAGAGCCCCAAAACTGCACAACACGGGTCCAAGATGGCCCTCAGAGAGCCCCAGGGCGGCCCAAGATGGCCCAAAGACACCCTCCGAAGAATTCCAAATCGTGATTCGGTCGTTCAGGGAAACGGCGGTTGGAGGCAGGGTGGCCCGAGGAAGCCCCCAGAGGTCCCCAGAATACGCCCAGAAGGCCTTAAGAAAGCCCGAAACAACTTTTGTGAGGCCCCCAGAGGCTCCTCACAAAAGTTGTTTCAGGCTTTCTTAAGGCCTTCTGAAAGCCTCCTGGGCGTATCCTGGAGGCCCCTGGGGGCTTCCTCGGGCCACCCGGCCTCCAACCGCGGTCTCCCTGAACGACTGGGTCACGATTTGGAATTCTTCGGAGGGTGTCTTGGGGCCATTTGGGGCCGCCCTGGGGCTCTCTGAGGGCCATCTTGGACCCGTGTTGTGCAGTTTTGGGGCTCTCTTGGATTGCTTGGAAGCCCTTTCGGATGGTTGTGGGGCGATTTGGGAGCCTCCCAGGCGGCTGCGGACGCCTGGAAGACCGCCGTCTTGGAGCGTTGGGACGCCGAAAAGAGGAGAACCCCAAAATTCACCACAAAACCGCTGAAAAATCAATGACTTTTGCCTCTTGGGTCCTTTTTGGGGGTGCTTTTGGAGGCCTCTTTGGGGCCGTCCTGGAGGCCTCTTGGGCCGTCTTGAGGTCACGTCGGTCACTGTTGGAGCGCTCTTGAGCTGTCTTGGGAGTCTCTGGGATGTATCCGATGACCCTCCTGATCGCCCTAAGTGTGCTGGGAAGGCTTGGCAAAACGCCCTGCGAGGCCCGGGGGGCCGCTTCGAGGTCCGTCCGGCGGGTCCCAAAACTCCAGATCCCGGGAGTCATTTTTTTTGGGGGGGGGTGAGGGGTCCCCCCCCCGCTTGGGCTTGGAAACATTTAGGAAAGGAATCTCTCTCTCTCTCTCTCTCTATATATATATATATATACACGCATATACATACAAACATTCAGAGAAACGTACATAGATATGTCGATGCGCACGCATGTATACATTTGTTTTTTTATACGCATCTACGTTGATACTCTCATCCACACACACATATATATATACACATTTAATGTGTAGATGTGTATACATGTATGCACATACAGAAATGCTGAACCTGACATACATAATGCACATACAAGCATGCAGACATACAGATACGTTAACCAGTATAGGCTCCAAACTATGCGCTTATAGCACACCACATGGTGCAATCGATATGTATAACCATAAATAAGTAAATATGTGGCACAATTTAGATTATGTAATTTATGTTGAACGGTATGTGTAGTGATGGTATGTGCAACCCGTTGTGCAATCATATATGGAGCAACACCAACGCAATTTGGCGGCTGGCAGGGATGGGGAACATCAAACGCATGGCGTATTGTTTGTCGCTAAATCGAGTTCGCACCTGCTGGCAGAAGTGGGAGGGTAGCCTTCATCACGCTGGGTCTGAAGGAAGCGTTCGAGCCGATCAATGTCGGTGGGCTGGTGGAGGTTGTCTCCGGGCTCCACAGAACGGCTCCGCTCGTAGCCGTTATGTGGGGATGTCTCTAGCGGTTTGCTTGTTTTCTGCTTTTGCGTTGCGTCCCGAGTGGCTCTCCGCGTTCCGTACGGCGGTCAAAGAGGAGTGACCATGTGTTGCTGGCGCAGAGCTTGTGTCACCGTGGGATGTCGCTTGCTCTTTCCGTGATGCTTTCCAATCTTGTCGTCGTTAGTGGGAGAGGAAATTTGAGAAGGTTCATTCTCCCACGTGCGTTTTGGGCTGGGGAGGGACTTCGAACAGGTTCACTCTCTAGCAGCGGGAGAGGGAATTTGAAAAGGTTCAGTTTCCCGCTTGTGGCTCGTACGGCTCATGTGGCTAGACGCTCATTTAAATATCCCAAATTCAATATTACTTTTTAGAAATGGATGCACACATGGGGAGCTCCACGCATTGAGCAATGTTCTGCAAATTCGCGTCTCACCCGCGTTTCTCACCTCGCCCCTCCTCCTCCTCCTCCTCCTCCTCCTCCTCCTCCTCCTCCTTCAGGCTTCCTCACCTCCCCTCTTCCACTTCTCCGCGTTCACGCGCGCTGTAGATGCGCGCGCGCAAAGCATGCGCACGCGTGCGCGCGCATCAGCGGCGCCATCCGCATCGGGTGCCCTGCGTACGTTGGCCGCTATGTTATGCGTGGTGGTCCTGACGTTGAATGTTTGGATGCTTGCTTGGCGGGGTGTTGGTTGTACCCTGCGTGCGTGGTGGGCTTATGGTTTTTGCCCCCCGCGCGCTTACTGGGACTATGGTTTTCCCCCTCCCGCGCTCCACCCGCGACGCTCACCTCCCCCCTCCCTTTTTGCGTGTCCTCGCCTGTCTCAGCGCGCGCACTCAGGCGCGCACGCGCGCACGCGGCCGCGCACGCGTAGCCGCGCGCACACGCGCACGCATATACATACAAACATTCGGAGAAGCGTACATAGATATGTAGATTCGCACGCATGTATACATTTATTTCTATACGATACGTTTACATATACGTTCACACACACATATATACATACATATATATATATATATATATATATATATATATATATATATATTTATACTGGTAGATGTGTATACATGTATGCACATACAGAAATGCTGATATTGACATACAAAATGCACATACAAGCATGCAGACATACAGGTACGTTAACCAGTATAGGCCCCAAACTATGCGCTTATAGCACACCACACGGTGCAATCGATGTGTATAATAATGCGTACATGAATATGTGACACAATTTAGGTTATGTAATTTATGTTGAACGGTATGTGTAGTGATGGTATGTGCAACCCGTTGTGCAATGTATATGGAGCAACACCAACGCAATTTGGCGGCTGACAGGGATGGGGAACATCAAACGCATAGCGTATTGTTTGTCGCTAAATCGAGTTCGCACCTGCTGGCAGAAGTGGGAGGGTAGCCTTCATCACGCTGGGTCTGAAGGAAGCGTTCGAGCCGATCAATGTCGGTGGGCTGGTGGAGGCTGTCTCCGGGCTCCACAGAACGGCTCCGTTCGTCGCCGTTATGTGGGGATGTCTCTAGCGGTTTGCTTGCTTCCTGCTTTTGCGTTGTGTCCCGAGTGGCTCCCCCCGTTCCGTACGGCGGGCAAAGAGGAGTGACCATGTGTTGCTGGCGCAGAGCTTGTGTCACCGTGGGATGTTGCTTGCTCTTTCCGTGGTGCTTTCCAATCTTGTCGTCGTTAGTGGGAGAGGAAATTTGAGAAGGTTCATTCTCCCGCGTGCGTTTTGGGCTGGGGAGGGACTTCGAACAGGTTCACTCTCTAGCAGCGGGAGAGGGCATTTGAAAAGGTTCAGTTTCCCGCTTGTGGCTCATACGGCTCATGTGGCTAGACGCTCATTTAAATATCCAAAATTCAATAATATTTTTTAGAAAAAAGGATGCACATATGGGAAGTTCCACGCATTGAGTATTTTTCTGCCAATTCGCGTCTCACCCGCGTTTCTCACCTCGCCCCTCCTCCTCCTCCTCCTCCTCCTCCTCCTCTTCCTTCAGGCTTCCTCTTCTCCCCTCTTCCACTTCTCCAAGTTCACGTTATGCGTGGTGGTCTTGACGTTGAATGTTCGGATGCTTGCTTGGCGGGGTGTTGGTTGTCCCCATGCGTGCGTGGTGGGCTTATGGTTTTTGCCCCCCGCGCGCTTACTGGGACTATGGTTGTCTCCCTCCCGCGCTCCACCCGCGACGCTCACCTCCCCCCTCCCTTTTTGCGTGTCCTC